CTAATATTAATGTTTTATGATGTTTTGTGCCTGCTGGGTATATTCATAATATTGCCATACTATGTAACAATGATAAATGCTAGGTTACGTTTGAATTTCAAACATCAGAAGTATGTTTTTACCCTATTAAAGGTTGTTAATCCAGATTATGCAACTTGTTAATTCTTGATTGCAAGTAAAAAAAAACTGTCTAAAACATTTATTACTATGGCTCAGATTATGCTGTAAACCAGGGGTGTCAAACTCAATTCTTAGATGGCCGAAGCCCTGCACAGTTTAGTTCCAACCCTGCTCCAACACACTTACCTGTAGGTTTCAAACAAGCCTGAAGGACTCAATTGGTTTGATCAGGTGTGTTTAATTGGGGTAGAACTAAACTGTGCAGAGCTGCGGCCCTTTTAGAACTGAGTTTGACACCTGTGCTGTACACAGACAACAACAGGTGATGTATTAGCCATTCAGCTAACTTTCACAGTTTGGCCGGCCAATTTCTGCTGATCTTCTGATGGACTTTCACACACAATGAACTCTAGCGAATACTTTACTGATCCCAGCAATCCGGGGAGAACTGTCAAACTTGTCCAAACTACAAAAAGGCAGCGGTAACCAAAATCACCACTTGCTACAACCAAGGTATTCTGAAGAGCATCTTTAAATGCATTACATGTTGTATTGAGGCAATTTCACAAGAGGTAATATTCCTGTCAGATAATAGGAAACTGAAGCTACAATTTGCACTTTGCTCAGAACCATATCAAGACAAGTCAGTTTCTGCTGCAACATTCAGATGTCTTAACAATATGAAATCATGGATTTATCCTGCTGCTATGAACAGTTTATGTCTTTGGTGATATAATGCTACTTGTTTGGTTCATTAGTACCAACTGAGCATCATTTAAACATCACGTCCTACTTTAGCATTGCTGCTGACCATCTTTTTATGACCACAGTGTGTAGATCTTGTGATGACTCAAAGTCACCAGATCTAAATCATTTGGGATTTGTGGGAATTGTTGATTTACATCATGGATGTGTGAAACCCGGTCCCACACCACCCAACCCACTTCGAGCTGGGATTAAACCAGAGACTGTCTGCATGGGAGTCAGTTGCTCTAACAAGGAGGCTAAAGACCATGGTATCTATTGTCTGTCGCTAGAGCACCTTTTAGAGGTCAGAAGAGTGAAGTTTACCTGCACAGCACTAGCCTAGCTGGCCTCCACTACACTCACTCCCCTTAATTGCACTCCCATCTGTGTCACAGCACCAATGTAACCCCGCGGGTTCCCCACCACCCCACCCACTCCAAGCTGGGCGCACCAATGTAATGCCACTAGTCTAACACCATCCAACCTGCCCCAAACTTGGATTGAACCGGCAACTGTCTGCACAGGATTCGGTTGCTCTAACAAGGAGTCTACCCTGCTGATAATCCAGCTTAAACGAGCCTAGGCTGGTTGGCTGGTTTTAGCTGGTTGACCAGCCTGGTTTAAGAGGGGTTTTGGCCATTTCCAGGCTGGTTTCCAGTCATTTCCAACCTGGTCTTAGCTGGTCAGGCTGGAAAATGACCAGCCAAATCCAGCTAAAACCAGCTTGACCAGCCTGGTTTAAGCTGGACATAGCTGGTTTTGGCTGAACTCCCAGCTTCGCTAGGCTGGTCAAGCTGGAAATGACTGGAAACCAGCCTGAAATGGCCAAAAGCCCTCTAAAACCAGGCTGGTCAACCAGCTAAAACCAGCCAACCAGCCTAGGCTGGTTTAAGCTGGATTTTTTAGCAGGGTAAAGACCATGGTCTCTAGTGTATTTTGCTAGAGCAGCTATAGAAATCAGAGGAGTGAGGTTTACCTGTACAGCACTTCACTAGCTGGCCTCTACTAAACTCACTCCCCTAAACCTCACTCCCATTTGGGTCACAGCACCAATGTAATGCCACTAGCCTTACACCACCCAAACTGGGATTGAACCAGCAGCTGTCCGTAAAAGAAGTCAGCTGTTCTAACAAAGAGTCTAAAGACCATGGCCTCTAGTGTCTGTTGCTAGTGCACCTTCAGAGGTCAGAGGAGTGAGGTTTACCTGCACAGCACTTCACTAGCTGGCCTCCACTACACTCACCCCCCTAAACCTCCCTCCCATCTGGGTCACAGCACTAATGTAACGCCACCAGTCTTACACCACCCAACCTTCTTTAAACTGGCAGACTGTCCGCATGGGAGTCAGTTGCTCTAACAAGGCTAAAGACCTCTGGCATCTGTCGCTAGATCACTTTTTACAGGTGAGAGAAGTGAGGTTTATCCGTATAGCACATCACTAGCTGGCCTCCACTACATGTGCACACAACTACTTTACAGAAACTGTGGAATTTTATCATATCAATTTGACTAAAATTACTAGAAAGAGAAACTTTGAACAGAATGTGAATTGGAGGTGCTCCTATCGGAGGCAGACCAGAGAAAATGGTGTTATTTGCAAATTTGTCGTTGGAATGAGCTAGTTGAGTGATTTCCACCCGTTTGATCGACAGAAACAACAAAGCTAAAGAGGGCGGACATCAGCGGCACGATTGATGTAGCTCCTAAAGAGCATTTCAACATGTTTTGACACTGTCATTCATGAACCCGGTTCAAATCCAGCATCTGATGAACTCATTCTTCTTTTTTCCCCACTACATATCAGATTTTGCAAAACGAGGAACACACATAGAAATCCTTAATAAGTGTGTGTATTATGTTAAGCGCATTTGAGCATCACATATTATTTGCACATTTATTGAATGGAAATGTTTCTGATTCATGAATGCATATTCGTCTTCAGATGGTGACTTCATAGCAATGTACGTGCAGTCGATCGCTCTGATTACATTGGGAAAACTGGCGATTGCTGCAAGTTGCGCTTTAATGTTTGGCTTGGTCAACTGCATGGTATGTAAACCTTATTTACCTGGTAGACATGTGGATGATCTCGTCTCATACAGCTGCCATTGCATGGCTCAAAGATACTTTGTAGGGTCCAATTTAACACAATTGCCTCTAGGAGTTGCCAATGGAAATAAAACAAGCACACACAAGAAATCGACGTACGCCAGACATGAAGTTGGTATGGACCAACGCACATTCTCATGCTCAATACATCGTTAGTAAATCCAAACGTGTGTGTGAAACCTGGCGTAATTGTGTGTATGCCGCGTTGATACATGAGGCCCCTGGCAATCAAGCATGCAACTGCTGCTTTAAATGTTTCCTTGTTCACTGTCTGTGAAACTACAGCGCAAAAGTCACTTATACTATAATGGATTTAGGATTGTGCAATTTCTAAAACCTCTTTTATTCATTCTGTGTTTTTTTAGTGACATGTCAGCTAGAGAGAAATTATGAATGACTGCTTGAACAACAATTTTACATAAATACATTTATTTGTCAATCAATACAACAACAAACATATCAAAGTTCTTGCTTTTAAATCAGTGTTATATGTATCAATAAGTACATATGAACCATTTTTATGGGATTTCTATGCATTTATAGAAATTTAAATCATAACAGTATGTATTAAAACAATTTTTATCCTGTATTATCCCAAAATTCAGTAAAATTTACTACCCGTATACTACAAGACTCTTAAATGCTTGATTTTAATAGGCTGATGAACATGCTAATGTGCAGTTATTTTCAGATGATCAAACAGCTTTAGTAATTCCAGGCAGGTTTTGATCACATTACAGTTTCATACAGTGGTGGAAAAAGTACTGAACAATCGTACTCTATTAAAAGCATCATTACTTGTCCAACGTTTACAAAATTAATTCTACTCAAAGTACAGTATGGGTGAAAAGTAAAAAGCTCTAACTACTACTCCAAGAAACTACTTAAGCATAAAAAGCAGTGAGTATTACCCTGTGAAAATTAGTTCACCTTATACCTTGCAAATTAAAAATGTAACTAACATCAGTCATTTTTTAAGGGTCTTTATAAGTATAAGTGAAATTATTTGTCGTACATGGACTATAAATTTAAATGTGACCTGGTTGTTCTACTTAGCCAATCATAGTACACCCCAAATCAGAAAATCAGTTGGGACAGTATGAAAATTGCTAATTGAAAAAGTAAGTAGTGACCTCTAAATTTACTTTGACTTGTATTTCACTGCAGACAATATGTACACAAAATATTTCATGTTTTATCCGTTCAACTTTATTTCTTTTGTAAATATACATCTTTTCCTGTCATTCAGACCTGCAACATACCAAAAAGGTTAGGACAGGAGCAATTTAGGGTTAGTAATCAGGTAAATTGCTTAAATAATGATGTGATTTGAAATAGGTGATGTCAACAGCTGATTGTAATCATGATTTGGTACAAAAGCAGCATCCGAGAGTGATTTAGTCCTTTAGGAGGAAAGATGGGCCAAGGATTGCCAGTTTGTCAACAAATATGTGAGAAAATTATTGAAATGTATTGAAATGTAAAAAAATAATGTTCCTCAAATAAAGATAGTAAAATACTTGGATATATTTTACCTTCAGCAGTGAATAACGTAATTAAAAGATTTAAGGAATCTGGAGGATTTTCAGTGAGTAACACTGTGAGGACAAGGGCGATTCCTTAGGTGATACTCCAAGAATCGTCACTCCTCCATAAGCATTATCACATGGGATCAGGACAACTTTGGCAAACCTTTGTCAACTACCACATTACATAGTTACTTCCACAAATGCCAGTTAAAGCTACTGTGGTAGCCGAGGGACCCAACCAGATTTCTTGTGGTGCAGGAATATATTTACGAATAAAGTGCGGGAGGGGTCAGTAACTCTGGTGTAATTTGAACAGAAGCTGGCGGTCTAACAATATCGCTCCCGAACGTGTGTGTGTGCGCATGTGCACTTGATGCTGTCTATGTGTGTGTGTGTGTGAAAATGAAAGAGAGCTTGATGCTGTGAGTGGCTTGCTTGCTTGGTGCTGTCTATGTGTGTGTGTGTGTGAATGAGAGAGTGATGCTGTGGTTTAGCTTTTTTTTTCTTCTACCCCACCACCCCCACTCCGGTAGCAGGAATGGTCGCGTTGGGTAGGAAATGGGGCAGGTTGAACAGAGGGTGAACAAATGCTGAATATAAGTGGGAGCAGTCTAGTTAGAACTAAAACCTGACGAAGTTGGGATTCAAAATTTAGTCCCGCACAGATTTGTATCTGGGATAAACCATCACACAGGGGTGACGTGACCTGTGGTAAGGACCTGAATCAGTATTTCTGGTGTTTTTTTGGGGGGATAAAAAAACGCTGTTAGCTCCGGACCGAAGAAGAAAAGGATCATATAGACTGTTACAAAGTGGTAAATGCTTTACTGTTTCAACTTTTTTTTTTTAAATGTGTTGCCAAAATTGGAAATGTGTTTATAAAAAAAATCACAAGGAACTCATTACATAATGTGTGTTGTATGGTCTAAAATGAAATACAAGTCAAAGTAGAAATCACTACTTCTTTTTTTATTTGTGTTTTCCATACTGTGCCAACGTTTTCTGATTTGGGGTTGTAGAAAAGAAAAAATGAACATATAGTTCTGAGTACAGGTTGAAGGAAAATACTGTAGTAAATGTACAGCACTAAAATGGACTCAAGTAAAAGTACACATTTTTAAAACTACTTAGCAAAGTACTATTCCTGAGAAAAACTACTCCACAATAGTAATTTGAGCATTTGTAATTTGTAACTTTACAGTGGTTGGAAATCACTACGCCACACAATTTCAGTTATTTCAAATTATTTCACAGCTTATAACAGACAGAAATCTAACAAAAACCGCACATAAACCTTTCAATGACATGCAAAAAAAAAAACAACAAAAAAAAACATTCAGGCTAGGGCTTATACTCTTGGATCCATCTATGTTGATCCTGGAACAACGTTTCCAGTCAGCCAATCAGAATTAAGGGATATGTTTACAGTTCTATTTTTGGGAATGAATAATGTATTTTGAGTTTAGAGTTTAGACATTTTTTTTTTATTATTTTGCTTGTTCAACTACTTGTTTAAAATAAGATGAACCAACTTATTGTGATTTAGCACAACTTAATTGTTTTTGCAAATTTAAGTAAATTGAACATAAAACTCTTAAGTTAATAATCAATTTGTTTTAGGACAACATAAAGGAATTGTGTGGAACCCAGCATCTTTTATAGTGAATAAAAATGACTTTAATGTTGTTGGCATAGATGTTAATCCAGGATTGCATTGTACTTGGCAAAATCACACCCACCTCCCATACATCTTTGAAGATAAAAATCTGAAAACAAGCTTGAAATGCAACATCTAACGGATATCTTTAGTTTCGCTGACTATCATAGGCAGAATAATAGACCTTGGTCTTTAAAAACATAAGAAAATAATGCACATCCATGTCCACACCAGGTCTACAGTGCTGATTGGTCTTTCTATCTGCCTCGTTGAGAGTAAGATTAACTGATTGGAGCTCCAGTCGTGACAAGTTTATAGTACGCCCCCTTCAGGCCCATCAGATAGTCATGCGTGCCCTTCTCAATGACGTATCCTCTTGACATCACAGCTATGATGTCAGAGTTCTGGATAGTAGACAGACGGTGAGCGATGACAATACATGTTCTGCCTTCTCTGGCTTTATCCAAGGCCTCCTGTACAGTCTGAAACACAAACAAACATAGACTACGAGTTCCTAAATGACCTCTTAAACATCTTCTAAAACTCGTTTTGCTAGCTTTCCTGCTCACCTTCTCACTTTCTGTGTCTAGTGCTGAGGTGGCCTCATCCAGAAGCAGTATTTTGGGGTCTCTTATGATCGCTCTGGCTATGGCAATACGCTGTTTTTGACCCCGGGAAAGCTGGGAACCTTGGGAACCAACATTGGTGTCGTATTTCTGCATCATGGGAGGAAGATGTATTAATGAGATCTTCTTTTCTACATAAGACCATGCCAAAAACATCCCAGTGACCACCCAGAAAGACCCTAGCAACCAATCAAAACAGTAGTATAGTATCTACTTGCATGTAGCATCCATCCAACAACTGCCTAGCAAAAGCCACTTAAAACCACTTTAAAACTAAAACTGCTTCAGAATTTAAACTACTTTTTTTATTTTATTTAAACTACTACTAATGTAAGGCCTGTTCACATCCTGCATGGTAACTAGATAACAATAAAGATATAGTTATAGTTTAATACACATTTGAAATCATTTCAAATATAAAAACAGGGGACTTTATATCACAACTAGCATCCTCTTAAAAGTGAATTTTCTAAATGATGAACAATAAAATACATCGACAGCCAATCAGAATCAAAATGTAAAGTCTTTGAAGTTGGATTTTAATTGGCTGTCAGTGTTTTTTTATTTTTGTTCATCAGTTAAGTTTAGGGTTAGGGTCAAGGGTTTAATGTTCAATGTTGTGTGTCCCTCCCTTATCCTAAAATGTTAAATTCATCTCTATACTTAATTAATTAAATAATTAAATAATATATTGAGTAGAAAATGTATATTATTTGTGTTTCTGTTATGTTACATTACTAATATTTGTGATTTTTATATATAAATTTTATTTGGATTATACATTTTGTACAAAGTTGCGTAGGCACCTATTGTATCTGTTCTGGTTCTTATTATTCTTCTGTCTTCTTCTTCTTCTCCTGCTCTGGGAATCTATGGCAGCCCTATGAACCGTTTGCGGCATTTGCACAAACTTTGGCACACTGATAGAAGACAACCTGATCTTCAACCACATCAACTTTGGACTTTCTAACTCAAACTCTCAAGCGCCACCACTTGTCCAAAGTTTCACTTATGTTTATCTTTTATCTCGAAATTCTTTTTTCCTCTGATTTCTTGGCTCATGCTGAATCAAACGCACCCTAGGACGCCATTTTTTGTCGTGAAAATTTTTTCGCTGTTTCAATTTTTTTGTAAAACATATTTGAATGAACTCCTCTTAGGCCGTTTGTCAAATTTTCACCAAAATTCAATCACTTGATCTACAGACCATGCTGACCAAAAGTTATGGAACTAAATTTGATTAGATGAACTGTTTTCAGCTTTTCTGCATTTCGTTTTACATTCGGCACAGCATGACAAATCGAATGATGTCTGATTTTCACAGGTTAAACGTTTTGGTCGTCGGCCATTTAGAATTGTCAAAAATTGCTATATTTTACGTGCACATTGGTAATTGGTATGTGTCTTCGGGACTTTCGGGCGCTCAAAAAGTATCACAATGCCACCTTTTGGTCAAACGTTATAAAAATATTTCTAAAAATGCCAATAACTTTTGACTAATTTTGCCTATTGTTATAAAACTTGTCTTGATACTTTCTTGGGTTGTTCTGACAATAAAGATTCCAATTATGCCTTGATTAACTGAATTTCCTGTCCGCCATTTAGCCTTAAGTCAAAAAACAACTTTTTCGAACTCCTACATTGTTTGGCTAATTTGCACTAAATTTGACTCAGATCATCTTCAGACCATGCTGACAAAAAGTTATTGAATTTCTGTCAATAGGTGATGCCAAACTATACCTTAGGCTGTATCCCTGCGATAGTTCATGATCATAGGTCTGGGATTGTCATCTCACACTGAGAACACCATAAAAAAATAGTGAGAGCGCCACATGTGGGTCAAGAGTTATAAGACATTCATTAGCCATTATTAATGAAACTTACAAATTTGGTGAAACTGTCTCAAATTATTCCTTGGATTATGCCAACAACACAGATACTAATCATGCCATAATCTGCCAAACTTCCTGTCCGCCATTTTGATTTTGTTCAAACCATTCTTTTTAAAACTCCTCCCAGACCATTGGTCCAATCTTCACCAAATTTGACTCGGATCATCTTCAGATCATGAAAACCAAAAGTTATGGCATTTATAGACAAAACTGTTGTCATTTTGCAAAAGAGCAAACTTGATGCAATGCTGCCAGATGATATTACAGGCTGAATCACTGCAATGGTTTGTATTATTGAAACCAAACTTGATGTGTGTGATCTAGACCTGTCTTTGACCGAACTACATCAGTTTGAGCCACCTTCTGGGTAAAATTTATTAAATGACTATTGAATAGTTTTGTCTACTGACATGAGACTGGTCTTGCAGATTCCTTGTATCATAAAGAGAACATTAATATAATTTATTCCCTAACTGACACAACTTCCTGTCCACTATCTTGAAATTGTTTGAAAATGTTGTTTTGAACTCTCCATAGATCAATTGCCCAGTTTCCACCAAATTTGGCTCAGACCATGTTGCCAAAAAGTTATTAAACTTTCCAGTTGTTCTGTAGCTTGTTGCTGTGTTTGTTTCTGATGAGGCCGCTGGGCTGCTTGGCTCCAGTACTTGCTGCTTGCAGCTATAGTTACATTTGTATTATTTACCTAGAATTTTTATTCATTAATTATTTATCATTACTTGGTATTTATTTAGAATAATTTGCTTGTTTGAATATATACTGTATGTATGTATATATATATATATATATATATATATATATATATAAATTTTATCATATTAATTAAATTATTTATTTACAATTGTATTGTCCCTGGTCCCTGGATCTCAGTTTGAAAACTCTACATGTATTAATACTTATTTACTGTTATAACTATCACTCTTGGTGTGAACAGGCCTTGGAAACCTTGATCTTTTTATGTAATTTTACTTATTGTTTATAATAATTTTTTATACATCACCTTGGGTCATCTTCTGTTTTTTTAAATCTTCTTTATTGATAAATGATTGAATCTGATTAGACGTAAACCAATCAAAGTGGAATCTCTGAGATGTCAATGTATAATTCAGATAGAAAATGCAATTCAGTTGAAATTGTTATCATCCAAAGATTCATTAGTCATCACCTCAGGAAGTGACATCACAAAGTCATGCAGCTGGGCCTTCTTTGCTGCGGAAATGACATCATTCATGCTGAGCTCACGTTGATTGTCCCCATAGCGAATGTTCTCTGCAATACTGCAGTCAAAGAGAATCGGCTCCTGGGACACAATCCCAATCTTAGAGCGCAGGTAAGCAACGTTGATCTGAGAACTTTCACGACCATCGATCAGCTGATCCATACAAAATAATGAACACAAACATAAAATAATGATTTAAAGCAGAAATTAGTCAATACTGTATGTTTACAAGGACAACATTAACACAATTTAAGTCAATACTCTGATTAGGAAACTACCAATCTAAACAGAAGGAGTGTGAACTTGTGAACTAGGGCTGCACAACATATCGAAAAAAGCATCATTATCGTGATAGCAGTATATGCTATATTCATATCACAGAGAGGTGCAATAAATAACTTCTTTTTTTATTTAGGGATTCACCAAAATCCTGAAAATTCTGGACCAAAACCAAAAACTTTGGATGCAAGGTGAACCTTAAGCTGAAAATAAGTACTATTGACAGGAGTAGAGACAAGACAAATTTTAGTCTGAATATCAGCCCAGGCTTTCATTAGTGTCTAAATGTTTGCTTTTTGTCAGCTTTTTAGATCAGAAAAGTTTGTTATATCAGAAAAATATCCATTATTACCAGTTTATTTTATGATATGTACATAAATAAAATAAAAAAATTTTTTTAGGTAAATGTTATATCGCAAAGAATATTTTTATAAGTGATCTTACGGTTTTAGTTTTACTCCATGTCTACAATTATTGTCCTAAAATATGCTTAAATGTTAGTGAGTTGGTCTTGTAACACAAAGATTGCTGGTTCGATTTCTGACAAATAATTAACTGCACTTGAAGCTTTCATAGAAAAAATGTTTAACAAATCAATGCGGAAGAGCGCTAGTTTTTGCGATTGTTTTAGAACTTCAGATTCAGTCGCCTATGGGAGAAATGACTAGGAATAATAATAAATGTCAGAAAACGGTCAAACTTCTTGCTCTACAATCAAATGTGTTCACGACTCTACATAAAAAGTGCAATAATATAATAAGAAAATATCAGTTTGCAACATCAAGCTGCATAACAGGCTGTTTTAAATGTCTCAAAATCAATGAAAGTGAATGAGAGCAGAAGTCTTGAGCTAAAAAGATTTCAATGACTGCCGTATGCTCATCCGTGAAGAATATGGTCAATATGGTTTAGTAAAATGGGAAATTGAACATTCTAAGAGTAACATAATAATCATAATGTAAACGATTAGATAACTAATGTACTGAGTGAAAGGTTTTCTTACCACACGTCCACTGTTGGGATCATAGAATCTCTCCAGTAGTTGAACACTGGTGCTCTTTCCACAACCACTGCTCCCCACAAACGCTAAAGTCTGTCCTGGTTTAACACTCACATTCAGTCCATTCAGAACCTGAATATCTGGTCGGGATGGGTATGTGAATTTGCAGTCTATAAACTCAATGTCCCCTTTAAAATTATCCTAAAAAGAAAGAAAAAGTAGTTGACTTTATTTAATCTTTGATCAAAGTCTAACCATTTCCTTCCATGTTCGGAGTAGCAGTCCTTTTGTTGACATCAGTTTGTTGACATCACTTTGATGGAATCATGTGCAAAAAGAAAGCCCCGCCCCTAGTCAATATTAAATTTTAGTTGGAAGTACATAATCACACCACATATAAAAGTTTCAGCATCATGTAGGACTTGAACAATATTTTACATTACACTGTCGCTTATATATTGTTTTTCTCCGCCATTAAACTGAACGTGAAATAGAGTGATCCCTCGCTATAATGCAGTTCACCTTTCGCAGCCTTGCAGTTTTGCGTTGTTGTTTTTTTAGTGCAATTTGACATGCTTTTTTTTACAGAACATTGTGTTCTGCGTCCTAATTGGTTGTAGACCATTGTCAATCAATCTCCTTCGTGTCTCCTGTACAGTACACAATGCATTCAGCTTGCCAAATTAACATAAAAATCGTAAGCAGTGTAATCTCCAACGAGGATGCAAAAAGTGTTGTAACTAGGGTTGGGTTGATCGACGATGCCATCATCCATCGCCGATGGCTCATAGGCCCCGTTTACACTAGTGCGTTTTAGTTTGAAAACGCATAAGTTTTGCTACGGTTACGCCATCCGTCCACACTACGCCGGAGTTCTCGAGCACCGAAAACGGAGCGTTTCGAAAACGCTGGAAAGGCCGTTTTCATTCTAAAATGCTGCTGCTCCGTCTCAGTGTGGATGGGGAAAGACGGAGACATCTGAAAACGGAGGCGGGGCTGCCGACGTTCGCCTATCTGATTGGGGCTTTTCCTCAATATTAAGTAGCCCACACACAGTTCAGTCTCGCATCATCTTCTTGTAAGTTAAGACTTCGCAAGTTTGATCAAGGCTGCAGTCTCCCCCTTCTGATATGGAAAACATACCGAGGACACGGGTAAATCTTCAAAGGGAACAGTGTACTTTATAACTTCATTCACATCACCTTGGATACGTTGTTTCACTTTCTCAACAATAAAATGTAAACATGATTTAAGGAACTGCCTATTTTCTTTTTAATATTAGCAACTTAGACAGCAGAAATGTTGAGGCGCAGTGCTGCATATATGAGCGTCATCTTCACTGTGTGGATATTTATAACAAAACGGAGCCGATAACAACTAGTTGCTGCCTCCTTTCAATTTCAGTGGAAATTCGAAACGCACCCTCTCTTTTGCTGAATATCAGTTTTAAATAATCGATAATTATAAAAGTATAACATACAATAAGTTTATACATTGTAGGAAATAAAGGCAAGCGATCAGTCAATGTACCTGGATTAATCATTAACTTATCTTTGCGCTTAACCAAAACATGTTACCCGTAAACAAGTAACTTAATAGATTCCAATGACCAAAGTCAGGGAATTGGCCTATGTCGTTAGATAAAGAAAACAACATGAATGAAATATCACGTTTAGCAAATATAGTGAGATTAGATCCAGCGGGAGATGCTTGATGAGCAGTCCGACAAGCAGAGCTCTCATCTAAGTAGAAATGCTGGAGCGCTTGCCCGTGAGTTTGTGTGTGGTCACGTGATGTGCGTTTTCAGCGTTTTGGTGTGGACGGAGAGTTGTTCAGAAACGCTGGGTAAAACGTGAGTGTGGACGCGGATCGTTTTCATTCTACAACGCCGTTTTAAAACTAAAACGCACTAGTGTAAACGGGGCCTTAGACATCACAATACTGATCCGCCATCGCAATCCTCCACCCAGCCCCCGTCGCAGCAGCAACCCGCTCGCAAAAAAAAAAAAACACACACACGGCCCCGTTTACACTAACATGTCTTAATTTTGAAATGGTATTTTAGAACAAAAACGATCCACATTCACACTGGCGTTTTACCTAGCATTTCTGAAAAGATCTCCCTCTTTACCGCTGAAACTGCACATCACGTGCGCTGCAGTATACACAGATGTCTGAGCTCAGGGCAGTCAGCGGGTGCTTTGAGCACAAAACCCCAGAGAGAAGAGCACATGTTATTAAGGATGTATCACTGGATCGTGTCTCACTATAGTTGGTAAACGTGATATTTAATTCATCTTGTCTCTATCTAATGACTCTTCATTTTTTTTATCTATCAGGAGACGTGTCACAGCATCAGTACACTACTTCAATCTTTCGCTTTCACGCTTGTACTTAGTAATTTTAGTGAAAACCTTAGATACTGTTGGTTGGTTGCTGTTGGTTGTGCACCTTTTTTACCAACCAAGTTTGTCGACGCCATTATAACGACAGAGATCACTGTGATTGACAGGTGGAATTTGTGTGTAACTTATCTTTATTTATTTATGATTTCGTTATGGGTAAAATAAAGACCATGCAGGTCAGGTAGTTAAAAAAGGAAGGCTACAAATAATTAATTCATTATGAATGAATCATTTATTTATAAATAATTTATTCACCACTGCCTACGATGATGATACCATCATCCATTGCTATGTTTCACATTACACATCGTACAATGCAAATTGGTCAACATCGCCCAACCCTAGTTGTAACTGTCCGCAGCAAGACCATTGTAAAGGGGGTCACACACAAAATGTGCTGTGCCACACAGCGCCATGCATTTTATAATTGTAAACATAGGTTTCTATCAGGGTACGCACACCGGAACCGTAAGTCCCAGCTATGACTCAGGACACTGTTCATATTTCTGCCGCACCACAGAGCCCGATCTGAATAATTTTATTTGAAATAACATGCGAATGTGTGCATCCAGTATGTATTACTTGCAACTGTCATGTGAGCGGCGCATCCAGTGTGTGACCCCCCTAGGGTGGGGTCTGCTTGTTTTGTGAATCAGTGACTGCAGGAAAAAGAATATTATGCCGGATGCCAACATTCTATGCACAAAAGCTAAAAAGCTTTATTAAGCTTTTGCTGACAGCGAACGAGGGACCAATGTGAATGGTTGGTACTGATTCTTAAAATACCCATTTTTGTCCGTCTTTGCTGTAGACACTGATTTTGGGAATGCGGTCCAGTAGCTGGAAGAATCGGGCAGCAGAGATCTTGGCTTTGGCGTAGTCTGGAGTATAGGAGGACGCTCGGCCGAGAGCCGTGCCACTTGTAACAATTGCTGAAATCACCCTGTAAATGACAGAAAAATCAAAATACACTCTTTGTTGTCTTCTGTAATTCAATGTAAAATATTAGTTCAGATTACTCAAAACATTTATTTTAAGTTAATAGAACTTATTGGTATTTTTAACTACAACAACATGTTTGTGACAAGTGGGTGGCAAACAGGTGACCTTCATTATTAATGTTGATCATAATTTAATACATTTTCTTAATTAATTCATTTTCCTTCGGCTTAGTCTCTGATTTATCAAAGGTTGCCACAGCAGAATGAACTGCCCAATATTCTGGGATATATTTTACACAGTGGATGCCCTTCCAGCTGCAACCCAGTACTGGGAAGCACCCATACACTCTCATTCATGCACACACTCATACACTATGGCCAATTTGAGTTCATCCAGTTCATCTATACTGCATGTCTTCTAACTGTGGGGGAAACCAGAGCCCGTTTTTTTTTTTTAAAGTAATCCACTAGGATTTTGGATAACGGATTGGATCGAATCTTAAAAATGGGTTTTTATATAATTACATATAATAATTACATAATTGGATTAGATCACGTAATCTAATCTTGGTTTTGTTTGGGATCAAACTTTTAGTTTGGGTTTTTCAAACCTTTTGTGTAGAATTTGGATCCAAAAGTAACACTTTACAATAAGGCTCATTAGATAATGCATTTACTAACATGAACTAATCATGAACAACACGTGTACAGCATTTATTAATCATAATTGAACATTTACTAATGCATTATTAACATTTAAGTCCATGCTTGTTAACATTAGTTAATGCACCATGAGTTAACATGAACTAACAATGAACTACTGTATTTTCATTAATTAATGTTAACTAACATGAACAAATACAATAGTAAATGTATTCTTCATTGTTTGTTCATGTTAGTAAATGCATTAATTAACATTAACTAATGAACCTTATTGTAAAGTGTGACCGATCCAAAAATCTGGATTAAACTGATCCCATCAGAAGGGTGCAATCAGCGTGGATTTCAAGCCCAAAATGTAAAAAATGTAAAGAAATCTTTAAAAATATATCAAATAGTACTATATTTGGATCATGCAGTAAGATATCATAAGATATCTTATTCATAAAGTTTTAATTGTATTTGTTCATCCGTCAGTCTACAGTGATTAGATAGGCTTTAACATATTCAGCCTTTCACTACATTTACATTTACATTTACATAGGCCTACAACAAAGAAGAAAGAGTTTGGCCTTATAAAATAATCCTCCAAACAGCTGTCAAAATAGACCAAAAACAATCAATTTTATTCTGTTATTAACTGGTTTATATACAGTATAAGTGTTTTTTTAAATGACTTTTAACAATTGCAAAAAGAGACTGAAAGGGCAGAAGCACCGCTTCGTCTGGCAGACAGACTGACTCTGACCAAACTGCAGCAAACCAAGGCCACACTTGAGACCAGCCTCCTAAAGGCTATAAGCTCAGACAAGCTGGTCTCTCCAAAACAGATGAGGAAGTCTGAAATCATTGGGGAGTTTTTGACATTGTCTTTTTTAAATTCAATACATCTATATTTGAAACTTGTTATAAATAGCGGACTGCTGGAAGAGGATGGTTTGGGTTTTTCTTGTTTCTTGTTTTTAGTTTTTTTTTTTTTTTATGTGCGTTTTCATTTAAAAAAAAAAAATACATTATATTGACCCCACACTGGCTATTCTACTTGTTGCTCTTTACATATCTATAGTTCTACATTGTGATTTCCTATCCTGTTTGAGCACTGGTTATCCAGATTTAGTGATCCTTAAAAGTTCCTATCCGGATCAGATTGATCAATTTCATCCGGATTAAACCTTTTGAAAAACCGGGCCCAGAACACCCGCAGGAAATCCACACGAATGCTGGAAGAAAATGCAAACTCCACACAGCAATGCCAACTCGACTAGAACAAGTAACCTTCTTTGAATAATCAAATTCTTCAGAATAAACTAACTGAATTTGTTTGCTATGTTTGTTTCTGTTTTGTGTTACCTGAAAACAAAACTGAAGTGTAGCCCTTCGTGATAGACCAGGTATCCACCAAATCGATACGAGGCAGAATTTGCCATGAAGACCACACACTGTGCAAACCCATAGCAGGCGCCGTACACATTCGCTTTTTTCAGCGCAGCTTGGTATGGGGCCTCCAGCTGAGTCTCAAACATTTCAACAAAATTACGCTCTTTTCCCAGTCCGGCAATGGTGCGGATGTTATTCAGAGCTTCTCCAGATATCTGCACTCAGAAGACCGATTGAGAGACAGTTTTAAAAAGCTGATGAAAAATGAAGGAACACTTTCACATACCTCACAGACATTTGGTGTTAATATAGCACATGGTGTTCATTGGGTTAATCAATGATTTTAAATGATAGTGAGCTGTTTTTTGTTGGGAGGTGATCTAGTTTACAATTATGAAAGGATTGTATTTTTATGGTAATGACTTCATAAAATATGACAACAGACATTCAAAGCTTAAATCTCAATAGAAGTTTTGAATGTAAATTTGACATGGCAAAAAATCTTTTTCAGCTAGAGTGACCACTGTGGTCATTCTAGAACAGGGATGGCCAAACAAGGGCCCATTGCCCAAAGTTGGCCAACAGTAACCTTTGATTTGGCTCGTCCTCCCATCTGAGAAGAGAGGAAAAATGATGGCCATGGTTTAGAGAGTATCATTTGAAATCTAATGCAACAGGCCTGTAGCCAGTAAGGTTTGGGTGGTTCGAAAGACCAACCCCCCACTGACAAAGTCCAGAATTTGGCCCCTACGTGAACTCATTTGTCCCATTTTTGATTATAGTGCCATCATAAATTGTGAAAATGACTGATAGAAGAAGGCTTTAATTATTCAAATGGCCAAATTTCAACAGAGGAAAGTGAAAGTATTTTAAAAATAAGTATATATTACATATATTTTTATTTAAAATGCTGATCTCATAACATTGTAAAACTTTAATTACAGTTTGCAGTTTAAATGCACATTTGTAAATATGCACTTCGTAGTAAAATAGTAGACCTACAGTAAACACATTGACAAAATTGTAGAAAACATTTTTGGAGCATAAAAAAGTGTGGTCACCATCCAAAAATTTAATCCAACAAAGCTTAAACCTCATAACTGAATAAAAATGACTGCAAAGAGGTCCAGTTATTGAGAAAAAAGAACCAGCCCTTTCAATAGGCTGGCTACGGGCCTGTGTAACCATGTTTGTTTGTTTGTTTTATTGTTAAACATTAACTGAAATTAATTGTTTCAATTAAACGGTGTAAATGAATCAGATGTAGTTTAAATGTACACACTGTCACCCAATGCATATAGGACAAATCAAGGCAAAGGCAGATACTGCTTGACCAGTGTATTCAGCATTGAACTCCACTGTGTTATAAATGTGATTGTTTATGTTTTAATTGCAATAAGTTATCATTTTAAATTTTATACTGCATTAGTTAATATGATTTAAAGTACGGTTATCTGTTTAATTTTAAGTCTTCTAAAATAAATTGGGAAATTACCCAATGGCAACTTTGATGTAATATACAGTAGCTTACTATATTTACCTTCCGCCCGAGAGGGGTCTGGATGCAGATCTGTTGCAGTGCAATCTGATCTGCATTCAGTGCTTTTTAATGCGCTCAAATAGCCCCACCCCGAACCCTACCCGTCACAGTGATGTCACTCACTCCATTGAGTGCATTGTGTCTGACATTGCATCGCTGAGTAATGCTATCTCAGCTTGCATCATAAATGCTGCCTCCAGATACTATTGTTCGGCCCACGGCTTTCAATGATATTTGGCTTTTGGCCCTTTATACAAAAACATTTGGGCACCCCTTTTCTAGAAGTTGTAGAATTTTGATTGTTTTAGTGTTAACAAGAGAAGTTGGTTGTTCGGAAATGAATAATGCATCTCTTCAGTGAAACAAACTCATTTAAGTCCACTTATAGGGCTGGTCATTCCCTAAAAACTCAATCTATCCAACCTTGCTGCTGGAATTGCTGATCTGAGAAGTGGTCCAAATGTAAATTTAGTGATGAAAGCAAGTTTAATGTATTATGGTCCGATGGAAAACATTATGTTTGTCATCAAACAGGGCAGTGTGACCCACTCAAATGAGAAAAAAGCAATTCTGTGAAGCTGAAAACATTGGAATAATGAAATGGCCAGCCAAAGTTATTGTCACAAAAGTTTTTTCACAAAACAAAGACAATATGGAGGAGGAAAAGTTATTTATTTAAAATATGGTCACACTTTATTTTGATAGTCAGTTTGTTAAATATAAGTTACATTGGATCTACATGCCAACTAATTCTCATTAGATTATAAATAGACTGCTAGGTTGGAGTTAGGGTTAGTGTAAGTTGACAGACACATACTTACAAAGTTTCTTATAGTCAGTTAAATGTCTGTTGAAGGAGCAGTATCAGCAGATATTAAGCAGTCAGATTACTAATACTCAAATGGACCATCAAAATAAAGTGTTGCTAAAAATGTTTCAAAATATTTTCATTTTAAGTTCAGTTATAAGCAGAAAACACCACAATCCTATTGTACAGCACTTAGATTTAGTAATAATCTACAACTGAGTAATAGTCTTTATTGGGATGCAGGAAATCTATCCCAGCAAACAATTTTGTGATAATAGACGTCTAATAGACATCTAAATGCAGAGAGCTTTTCTAAAACAAGGCTAAGATTGGCCTGTGAGTGAAAATCTAATAGACATCTAAGAATAGCCCGGAACTAGACTAGTCGTCAAATCGACTGATTAAAGTGACTTTATATGTGTAGTCAATCATTTCTGTTTATTTGATGACTAGTCTAGTGTTGACCTATTTTTAGACGTGTATTAGATTTTAACTGACAGTGTAAATTTAGCTCTGTTTTAGCCAAGACGACTATGTTTAGACGCCTATTAGACATGTATTAGACATTTTTTAAAAACACAAAATGCTTTCTGGGAAAGGTCTAAATTTGGATTATTATTAATTATGATTGTTTATGAAAGATATCGAGTGTTTATAAATTGTTCTAATTTTGATCTCCACTACTGCAGTGTAGCATGAGCTCACCTGCCCTGCTGTCTCCATGGCCTCTTTGTCCTGCTTGGCGAATCCAGTAAGCATTTTAGCCTGAAACCCTCCAGAAAGAGCCAAGAATGGAAGGAAGCACAGGATGACCAGAGTGAGCTTCCAGCTGAAGTAAAAGGAGATGATAACAGCCACACCGATGTTGGTCAGAGAATTCACAATCATGCCGATCTGAGAACCTGTGGCCTGGGGTGAGAGTTTATTTAGTCTTAATAAAGTTTTATTTTGATTGAAAAGGGTCACATAACATGTGGGAGCTAATGGAAACATTTCAGCTAAGTGATTTTCTTACTCCCTGGACTTGCGAGGCATCTGTAGCCAGTCGTGTTGTTAAAGCACCAGGGCTGTTTTTGCGATCATCAAACCAGCCGATCTCCTGCCCCAACATTGCCTGAAAGCCCAGACGCCTCAATCTACGAGTGAGCAGCTCGCCGGATTTAGAGAATGCATAGCCCTGGAAATAAATACAAATACCCAACAATAAGCACTTTTCTCCACGTCATTTAACATCCAAAATGTGTCGAAGCACAATTAAAAATGCTGTTGCAGAACTGTGTAATCAAAATGGGTGAACGATATTTTTCTGAAGCTCTTTTTAGGTCATTAGCTTTAATGGCAGAGATAACCATAACTAGAGTAAGTTAACGTTAACTAGAGTAAGTAAAGGTACAGTATGTAAGTCTGGCCCCCAGCAGTTGAACTAGATATTGCAATTCAAACTCAAAACACTTTTTCACTTAGCTCCCCCTCTGATGACTCCATGCAAATGCAGGTTGACATATTGACTACACCACCATGAGCTAGCGTGCGTGATTTGCTCTTCAGTGTTTTGGCTTTCAGCTGAGACATTTACATTACACTTAACTGAACTAAACTGAACTTCAACTGTGAAAAGTGGACTGAAGCAGATGCAATTCACTAGAACATCTACGTTAAGCTGCTTTGACACAATCTAGGCTATATTGTTAAAGCACTTTAGAAATAAAGATTAATTAAAATAAATTCAATAACATAAACTACAATGACAACAATCACCTCAGATACTGATTATGTGCTTTTTTCAGTGTTAAATGCAAATAATGTAAGTATGAGGGATTTACTTCCGATCTTGAACTGTGATTCAGTGCAAACCAACAAATATCAGTCACTCAGAATGTACTTTTAATAATGTTACATGTGTATTAATATGATTCTAAACCTTACCATTTCATGAGGTGCACTGAGTGCACTATTTTATGCTTCTGAATGGCTGTATTTAAATTAAAGGTGGGCATGGATACATTTTTTTTATTTAGATTAATCTTGGAATTATTCTAAATTAATCTAGATTACAATGGCTCATTTGAATTCTGCCGAAGGCATTCAGAATATGTGTGCTACCCAAATAATGACTAAAAGGAAGACTTTAAGAACGAGTTTCTCAAGCCAGGTGGCACATTAGACCAGAGGCTCATCTCCTGTTTCCAAAATGCATCACAAACTGCTTGAGAAACTGTTCTACTATGATAGTTGGTGATGAAAGTAAATTATGTTCATTAAGATGTACTTGTGTTTACCAACTGTTATTCAGTTAAACTCGAAACAGCAATTTTTGATTACCTTAATCCCACTAACGTTATAACTGAACTAAATAGAAATGGAATTAAGACGTTTAGTATGCATATATTAGTGGCATTAGTTGTTATTTCCTTTCCATTTGACGTGCTTCATTAAACTCTGTAACACTCTCATCAGTTCTTACTCCTTATTTGTGTCTAATACCCCTGTTTGTCATGGGGGCATGAAAGAAATGTTCATGAGTGAATGTGAAACTGCCGCAGTTAAAAAGTCTCCCAAAATTACAGGAAACTTCTACATGAAAGCACTTCACATAAACACCTTAATTATATTATTGTCTATTGTCATGTAAGCATAGTCAGTAGTGTCTTGAACTAAGTGAAAGATCCAGAAGGGCATCCTGCTGATTTGATTCAGAAGGGCACTTTTTGTCAGACGGCTCATTGGTTTGACTTTCATTCCCCGTTATTCATTTTTTAAAAGCACCCGCTCCATTTTTTTTTTTTTTTTTTTGCATATGTTTTACTCAACTTCATGAACTCTACAGGTGCCTGATAGTTAGATGTGGAGCTGACATTAATCAGATTCACTCTAGTGAACTGAATCCATGTTAGCACATCACGTTTGATGTGTAAATTTCACAGTAGGAATACACACAGGCTCGAAGACTCGTTCTGGCCAACTACAGTGCAATTCGGCCAGGTATACATCCGCACTAAATTATCAAGGTGAAAGTCATCATAGTTTGCGTAGAATAGACCCAGCTCCCAACCCAACTTTGAGACTAGATTAACGGACAATAAGAGTCTCGCATTAACGCAGCATGTTAACGCCAATAACGGCCCACGACTAATTTAAATTGATCACATTTTCAACTGCGGCTGCATGCAATGGTGCAGCTGAGAATTAAATTAAATACAAAGCGTTTTTCACCAAGGCAACCCAGATTGCTGAAATATAACTGGGTAAACTGGCAGTGGGCAGATTATAGAGACCAAAACAAAGACAGACATTCTGGCACTGAATGCACATTTTTAAAGGAGAATAACTGACTTTAGCATTGTTCGGTATGTTTACTTAGCATGTTTCTTACACATCTGCAAACATATTATGGTATTTTTATGCTTTTTAATGTCAAACTCAGTTCCTGGAGGGCAGCAGCTCTGCACAGTTTGGTTCCAACTTTAATTAAGCACTACACCCTTGGTGACAGCATAATTTATCCTTGTTTTATCCAAGACATCTATATTTAGATGTCTATTAGACTTATTTTAAACACACAAAAAATGCTTGCTGGGACTGGTTTACTAGGCATTTGAAGATAACTCTGTTGTCACTTTAAGTTGTGTTAAATACTCAGTAACTTAAAAAGTCCTTCTATAACAGCATGCAATATTTCCAGTAAAATGTTATTATTAAGACAAACCTGTAACATTTGTGTGAAAAAAGAAACCAAACCAACTACTACAAAGAACAGACAGATGCCATTAATCTCCCTCCGTTGTTCAACAGGATCTGGCATCGAAAATGTCTGCAGGTTAAAAGAAAAAGATGAAAGTCACACTTACTGAAACCACTTGAAGTACAAGAGAACAGCAGATAGGAACCTCACCGCCAAGATTTGACTGAAAAGGAGAGAGTAGACTGGGTTCACCCCTCCATTCACAGCGGCTCCAATGCTTCCAAAAAACATGTAGGGCCATTCAGGAGCGTTATATTTCAGGATACGAGCTACTGGAGCCGGTTCCACCTCCTCTGCAGTATCTTCAGGAACACCGCTCTACAAACACACACACACACACACACACACAGTATGTATACCGTATGTGTAAGCTGATTGAGATGTAATGAACATTTGACCAATGTTTTGGAAAGCTCTAACCTTCCCCATGAACTCCTGAGGAACGGTAGTTTCAGAATATGAACGAGGCCCTAGTTCTCCAGCGATGGCCACTGAAGATTCAGGAACAGCGTTTGACAGCTGAGATCGAGATCTTTGGTGAATAGAAGCTCTGCAGGTATAGTGATAGTGAATGAGAGGTTTAAACAGGGAAATAGTATGACAATAATACTTTATTCTTATACTGTGCTATTTTCAAATCACTTCCCAAGGGAGCTGTTTAACTATCCTGCTGAAGAAAAAAACTATTAAATTCATTATATAATTTTTGATGCCTTTAATGGATTTATTGGATATTATATCATTTTAAATGGAAATTCTAATTGTCCTTTGGGTCTAGAATGGTATTGTCTTTTTTTTTATTCTGATAGTGGCAATAAAAATTATGAATCCTAAATATTTTCCAAAACCACTAGAAACCATAAAATTGCATCAGCTTTATGGTAAATGTTAAAATTGATAGTTTGTAATGCCTTTAATATGGTGGCTGAGAGAGCTTAACACCAACAAATTAAGAAAAGATCTTCATCGGTTTGACAGCAAACTTGTTGAAAATCACATTATGAAAATTTTCACAACCCATGCAAATAGCACAGAGCACAACAGAAATGTTTCAAGGAGACCCAAAAACACAACGGACCCGGCTATTTAGGTAATGGACTGCATCCAAAACCACCTACTACTCAGTAACTACTGCATTTGAATTTAAACATACTACTTGGCCATTAGAAAAGTATGTTCTATACAGTATGAAAGCAGTATGAAAGGAATTCGGACGTACTACATCTGCCATTTTGTCATGGTCATGTGACCTACACGCATCAGGTGCATCGCTTTACTGCTATTCATGAATTCTCTCATGGGGCATCATGGGATAGCGCAGCATGCATGGGATGCACACTTCAGAATCTCACCGGAAGTAGTAGGTCATCCAGGTACTTCTCGCATACAAATTTTCGTGAATTTTATGAATTCGGACATACTACTCGGCTCGCATACTGATTTTAGCATACTATATAGTATGGAAGTATGTGGTTTCGGACGCAGCCATGGTTATTTATGCTAATCAGGATGTTAAACAAAAAAACTCATTCTTAAAACATACCACTATATACTTTTTTAGAGAGCACCAAAAATGTCCCAGGAGGTCTTTTTTATTTTTTATTTTTGTTTTTGCAAATCCACCAGAGGCCGCTGTGAACACTTTTTCAGATCTCAAATATCTGCACCTGCTGCTGGGTAAATCCTCCAGATGCTGCGGACTGACTGACTGACTGACTGACTGATAGACTGACTCACTCTTCTCTAAACCCAACCAATGGTGCTTTCGAAAACACAGATTGCCCTGCCCACCCACTTCCTTAAACACAACCGACAGTTTTAAAAAGCAATCCAGGAAATGAAAATCCCCTGCGGTCGCCTGATTTTTACCAGGTTTTCAGATTTTACTACATTGTCACCCTGTTATTCACTTGTTTATTTTATATTTTGGCTTGTTTTTGTCTTCATTCCACATGGAGGTAAGCGGTCAGCTGTTAAGTGTGAAAAGGAACGGCCTCATACCACCCTGTAGCATTCATTTTAAAGACAAAATGCAGCCATTCTTTCTTCTGGCTACATAATTCGCAAACTCCAGAAATGTATATAGAGCTATATTTTCAGAATGACCTTCTGCTGAAATATTGAGATCAACTAACTGATAGCTGAATGAATCACTGAACACTCAGTAGTATTGAAACTGAATATAGGAATATTCCTACAAGACCTAAATAGTAAAACACCAAAACTATTTTACTATTTTTACCTCAAGCTAGCACGATAGCTTCCAGCCCTGTTGAGACTCCTTCTCTCTGCATCACTGTCACAACATTCTGCTTCCTCCATCTCTAAGAACGGAAACAGACAAAATTTCATTCACTTTATTTACTTGTTATCCTGTGCACATATTGGAATAGAGCTTTGTGTTTAAAGAAATTTAATAAAAAACAGTTGTGCCATTATGTCAGGAATTTAAATCACCGCTCAGTACAAGAGTTGTTCACAACTCAACTTTAGATTAAAAGCATTGCAAAAGGCTGATTTTGTAATATAATGTAAATCATTGTTGTCGTTGTTTACTAAAGCTTTTTTGTGAATCGATACAAATTGTATGATTGCGCTAACTAAACCGAAACTAAAATGAAATAAAAATGATTAAATATAAATATTTGATGGCAGCATAAAAAACAAAACAAAAAAATGAAAGATCGACAAATTTCATGAATATTTTATCATTCTGCTGACTTAAATGGAGCTATATAAAGGAAAATAATATATAATTATGTACAAATTCTGTGATTATGTAAAGTGAAATTAAGCTAAAAAATATTTTTAAAAGATTAACATTTCATACCAACATAAAATGTACAAAATAAAAAAAATTAAATATTTTTGAACTAAAAAAAAAATTCTTTGGAATGTAAAATTAATAAAAAAAATTATATATATATATATATATATATATATATATATATATATATATATATATATATATATATATATATATATATATATATATATATATATACACACATAACATTAGTCCAAGAGTTAATAAATAATAATGTAACAAAAATGATGTAAATAGTGAAAAAAAAATCTATTGAGTAAAATTTGGCTGTTTTTAAAACAAGAGTGGCAATTCAAGTTGGAATTTTTTGAACTTTGAATTTAGGGTTCTTTGCTTTACATAGTTCAATGCATTGGAGGACATTGACACATGTCACGTGTAAGGATCCTAATACAGAGTACTAACAGGAATAGGAATGGAAGACTGTGTGTTACTCACCCTGTTGGGCTTTCTGGTTCAAAGCTTTGTCTCCCTGGCTTTGAAGAGTGACCAAGGTGAAGTAGACGCCCTTTCTTTCCAACAGCTCATCATGTTTTCCTCTTTCAACAGCACGGCCGTGCTCAAATCCCACAATCACATCTGCATTCTTGATCGTAGATAAACGGTGAGCTATGGAGATAGTGGTGCGACCCATTCTGACCTTCAAAAGAAGATTGATGTTCATTCACTCACTCATACATCACAGCCAGTTTAGTTTATTCAATTTACTTATACTGCACATATTTGGACTGTGAGGGGAAAAGGAGCACCCGGAGGAAACCCACACAAACAAACTGCCAACTGGCCCAGACGGGACTCGAACCAGCAACCGTCTTGCTGTGAGGCGACAGTGCTAACCACTGAGCAACCATATAATTGTTATTTTTTCAGGTAAGTAATAATAAACATTACAGTGCCCATCTTCCATACCAGAATTGCAGTTTAAGCAGCCCTGCTTGAAGTGGGTATCAGAAATTGGTGAATTTGTGAAACTGGTGCCGTGACCCAGATGGGAGTGAGGTTAAAAGATGTTTACAGGGCACAGGGAGCCTTGGACTAGAGGGGTTATGTTAGATATGTTTCCATCAAGCTGTTTGTATGTGCATTTCTCAATCATATAAAAAATGCTTAATGGAAACAAAGGCCGCTTTTACACTGCATGGTTCAAGTGACTCAATTCCAATTTTTTTCCACCATGTGGCACAGATCAGATATGGCCCATGTACGTGTAAGCAGGAAAAAAATCACAGATTAAATACAGAAATGGAGAAAAGGGTGCTCTTTTATTATCAGCTATCAGTCAGCACCCGCTCTTTTTTTTCTGGTCATTGCGCCATGTGCTGTGTAAATGTAGACAATTGGATATGAGTGATTTTTAAAAGATGATGTAAGCAGGTCAGAAAAGAAATCAGATACAGTCACAAAATCGGAATTGACCATAAAGAATTGCAAAATGCAGCCAATATGTACAGTATGTGTACAACTGGGTGGTGTAATCCTTTTATCCAGTATGACAAAGTGTCCATAAACTAAGATGAAAACACATTTACTGAATAAATTCCAGCAAGCACATCAAAATCAGCAAGCACATCCAAGTCAAGTGATTTTGTTTTAACAGATCATGTGAACACAAAAATAGGTGTGCAGGGACAGCATTAATGAGCAATACAGTGAATGACCACATAACACATCTGAAATGTTGTTTTAGCCATCCCAAAATGCCTTAGCCCAAGTCAATATTTATTACCTCCTAGAACTTTCTTGAGTGGCTGCACACCCAAAGATTGGTTTTACACCTTCAAAAGCCACTGCACATTTATGACACTTCATCTCCTACTTCTGAGGCAATAGCCATTTATTATATTAGGAAAAATGTCACAGTGGCTTCTCATGCCACAGCAAATTCCTTTTTTTTAGTGTGTTTAGCTATTGTTGCCGTGACCCGGATGGGAGTGAGGTGTAGGGGGGTTTACAGGGGTTAAAGGAGCCCCTCTCTGAGCAGAGTGTGCGTGTGTTAGGGAAGAGGAGTTATAGTTCTATGAAGAATCTTTAACATCCATAAAAATGCCTAATTCCACAAAAGGTTCTTTATAGTGAAAAGTTTCTTTAGATCTTTAAAATGTTTTTACTGAAACGTTCTTTAAGGAACATAAAATATTTCTATGAAATTACTGTGAAAATAGTTTTTGAGGTTTTATTTTTTTAAAGACTTTATGCATGCTGACCTTGTCCAAAGCCTCTTGTACAACAGCTTCACTTTCATTGTCCAAAGCAGATGTGGCCATGTCCAGGAGGAGGATTCTAGGATTCCTCACAAGAGCCCGGGCTATTGCGATTCGCTGTTTCTGCCCACCACTCATCTGTCCACCACCCTCACCTACTAAAGTCTCAAATTTCTGAAAAGAAAAGGGCATTGAAGTTAGAGGCATGTTTTATATGTTTTTTTTTTATTTATTTCTAAAAATATAATTGCATTTAAAACTACAGTGTATTTTTAATATTATTGGAACATCTGTTGAAAAAATTCCTGGATGAATTTGGAAGATTGTAGTTGTCTGTCTTTTTGGGGAGGAGAAGAAGTCCTTAACACAATATTCTCTTGTTTACAAAATGGTTTGTGACTTCTCTAATAAACTCTGGTGTAAACTCAAAAGAGATGCAACACTAACAGGAAACACGCAGAAGATTAAATTTTAATAAACAATAGAAATGATTTCTAATTATTTGCAGAGAAAAAGTATGACAATGGATGTATGAAATATGCACCATGTCAAAGTATGACATAGTGCACTTAAGAAGTGTCTGAATTCTCTTTTGCTATTTTAAGGACATGAAAAATGGCAGACGTATAAGTGTTGTCCTTATGAGTTGTTGAAATACTTTGGGTGTAATGTGCTTTAAGCCATATGTTTCTAATCATAGGTCTCATCTCCCACTCATTGCGCCATGGTGCATTTGCTATTTACATTGTGGCCTTTGTAAGCAAAAAAACTGAACAATTCACTAGCGAGGAAATGGATCTTCTTTCGCAAGAGGTTAAAGCAATAAAAAAAAATTTATTCGGATTCTACCAAAGCACGCTGACATGAAGAAGGCATGGTAAGAGGTAGTGTTACATATTTATGTAGACAATAATAATCTTTTACATTTCTGAAAGGATTTTTTTTCTATTTAATACTGTTTGTGTGCTGCTGCACATCCCTGTGTGTGTAATTAACAATATGTTCACACATTTTGGACTTTGCTATCATTAAATTTCTCTTTAAATAACAAACAGGAAACTGCACCATTGACTTTAGACCTGCTTTTAGTTGGTTTATGGTGGGGTCAATTTAGGTTGCTTTAAAATAGCAACCCACCAACAATGCCCCGTAACACACCTCCTTTTCACACCAGGCACACAAATGGGCACAAGCGGAAATGCTATTTAAACAACATGTCGGAGGATGTGAAAATGATCATGAAGTTATATTAAATGAAAAAAATAAATCTGTAAAATAAAATCAAATAGTCAATGCTATTAGCCTTGTGGTTAGTGTGCTTGAGGGCCTTTACTGATCCTTCCCCTCTCTATATATCACTGTCCTATACTAAATAAAAAAAAATATATATATATATATAAATATATATATATATATATATATATATATATATATATATATATATATATATATATATATATATATATATATATATATGTATATCCTTTAAAATATTTTTTAAAAATCCAAAAATTATTGATGTCATTGTATGGTAATTTTGAGAAAATTTATCTCCTGCCTGTGGTAAATCCATGATGAAGTTGTAGGCATTGGCCTCTTTGGCGGCTGTGATGATATCATCGTTCGAGACTCCGGGCCGTCCGTATCGGATGTTCTCAGCAATAGTCGTGGCAAACAAAACAGGCTCCTGCTCCACTATTCCAATCAGAGAACGCAGCCACTGTATGTTCAGACCCCTGATGTCATGGCCATCCAGTGTAAGCTAGAATAATGGAAAGTTGGACAATTTCTGAATCACATCCACCAATAACATTGTGGAATGTAAAAGTCTTATTTCATTACCATTCCCTCTTTGGGGTCATAGAACCGTTGGATGAGTTGGATTGCTGTGCTTTTTCCAGCCCCACTGGGACCCACAAATGCCGTTGTCTCTCCTGACTTTACCTGCAGATTAAGCTGATCCAGGATCTGTTAAGGTGAATAGTGTCAGGTAAGTTACTTCAAAAAAGTAATTAATTACTAATTACATCATTAAAATTGTATTTAATTGCTTTTCTAATTAATTAAAAAGTAATAGTTACTCAATAAGTATTTAATTACTTGACTCAATACTAAAATCTACAAAATTCTCAATGTATAGACAATAGAAATAAAACTCTTAACTTTTAATTCTTTTAATTTTTGTCAAACAGTACATATTAAAATAATTTCATCTTTTTTGTTTAAGAAATAACACAAACATTTAAACATATATTAAAAATATATATGCATCAAAATACGAAACGTTTCAAATTAACAATATAATATAATGATTTCACCAGCATGGACCATGCCACACTTTGAGCTAGACTTTATTGTAAGGATGTATTGATGAAAGGTATGGTAAGTGAGATGAAGGTGAAGGGAGGAAGAGGATAAACAGTGAACAGGTACAGTGAATCCAGAAAGTATTCATAGCACTTCATTTTTTTCCACATTTTTTTATGTTACATCCTTATTCCAAAATGGATTAAATTCATTTATTTCCTCAAAGTTATACACACAATACATCATAATGACAATGTGGAAAAAAGATTTTTGAAATTGTTGCAATTTTATTAAAAATAAAAAAACTGAAAAATCACATGTACATAAGTATTCACAGCCTTTGCTGTAAAGCTCTAAATTGAGCTCAGGTACATTCTGTTTTCACAGATCATTCTTGAGATGTTTCAGCAGCTTAATTGGAGTTCACCTGTGGTAAATTCAGTTGATTGACCATGATTTGAAAAGGCGCACACCTGTCTATACAAAGTCCCAGGGATGACAGTGCATGTCAACGCACAAAGCAAGCATGAAGACAAAGGAATTGTCTGTACACATCTGAGACAGGATTGTCTTGAGGCACAAGGCTGGGGAAGGTAACAGAAAAATTTCTGCTGCTCTGAAAGTTCCAATAAGCACAGTGGCCTCCATCATCCATAAGTGGAAGATGTTTGGAACCATCAGTACTCTTCCTAGAGTGGCCGGCCATCTAAGCTGAGTGATTGGGTGAGAAGGGCTTTAGTCAGGGAGGTGATTAATAAATGGTCACACTGTCTGAGCTCCAGCGTTCTTCTGTGGAGAGAGGAGAACCTTACAGAAGGACAACCATCTGTGCAGCAATCCACCAATAAGGCCTGTATGGTAGGGTGGCCAGACAGAAGCCACTCTGCCTGGATTTGGCAAAAAAAAAAAAAAAAAAAGCTTCTGAAGGACTCTCAGACCATGAGAAACAAAATTCTCTGGTCTGATGAGACTAAAATTGACCTCTTTGGAGTAAATACTAGGCGTTACTTTTAAGAAAACCAGGCACCCTGCATCACCAGGCTAATAAAATGCCTACAGTGAAGCATGGTGGTGGCAGCATCATGCATCATGATGTTTTACAGCAGCAGGTACTGGAAGACTAGTCAGGATAGAGGAAAAGATAAATGCAGCAATGTACAGGGACATTCTGAATGAAAACCTGCTTCAGAGTGCTCTTGACCTCAGACTGTGGAGACGGTTCATCTTCCAGCAGGACAATGACTCAAAGCACACCGCCAAAATATAAATGGAGAGGATTCGCAACAACCCAGTGAATGTCCCAGAGCTAAATCCTATTTAACAGCTCTGGAGAGATCTGACAATGGCTGTACACCGTCACTTCCCAGCCAACCAGATAGAGCTAGAGAGGTACTGCAAAGCGGAATGGGCAAAATTTCCCAAAGACAGGTGTGCCAAGCTTGTGGCATCATATTCATAAAGACTTGAGGCTGTATTTGGTGCCAAAGGTGCATCAACAAAGTATTGAGCAAAGGCTGTGAATACATGTGATCTTTCAGGTTTTTATTTTTAATACATTTCAAATTTTAATACAAAAAAAATAAAAAAATTCACATTGTCATTACAGGGTATTGTGTGTAGAATTTTGAGTAAATTAATTAATTTATTTTGGAATAAGTCTATAACATAAAAAATGTGGAAAAAGTGAAGTTACTTTCTGGATGCACTGTGGGTAGGTTGATTGGGTGTCCTACGATGATGCCAAGAGAGGGGGTACAATTTCTGCAATATTTTGGTAGAGTGATTGGACCCCCAGATTCAAGGGTTATAAGGGTAGTTTACGAAAAGCAAGGAAATAGTGCTTAACAGTGACAGTAACAGTGTAACAGTAACAGTGCTAGAGGGCTGGTCTACCTTAAATAAGTTGTAGGGAGTAGGTAATTGTTTAAGGAGGCAAAGTGAGGCATGGTTTCGGTGGCGAACCTTTGTTAACAAGTTAACTGCATAATATATGTATATTTCATACATAAAGCATATACTAACATACATTTCTGAAACATTCCTTTGTTTTAGGTGTGCAATTTTTAGACAAAAATGTAATTGAAAATGTAAGTTATTATGCAAAACACCTAAATAACAACAACAAACATAAAATAAATGTACTTAATCTGCTTCTCTGAATGTTTACATTATATTCTTATGAACTAATTTCTCAATGTCTCATATGCAATTGCCTTGATCAACTATTTGAATGTTCTTTAATAGAAAAAAATAATCATTGCAATTAATTTACACTCACCTGACACTTTATTAAGTACGCCTGTTTAAATGCTTGTTAACGCAAATTTCTAATTAGCCAATCACAAGGCAGCAACTTAATGTATTTAGGCACGTAGACATGGCCGAGACAATCTGCTGCAGGGCAGGTCAAACCAAGTATCCGAATGGGGAAGAAAGGTGATATAAGAGACTTTGAATGTGGCATGGTTGTTTTGTCAGACTGGCTGGTCTGAGTATTTCAGAAACTGCTGATCTACTGGGATTTTCACAGACAACCATCTCTAGGGTTTTACAAAGAATGGTCCCAAAAAGAGAAAATATCCAGTGATCGGCAGTTCTGTGGTAGCAAATGTCTTGTTGATGTCAGAGTTCAGAGGAGAATGACCAGACTGGTTCGGGCTGATAGAAAGGCAACAGTAACTCAAATGCCCACTCAGAAGAGCCTCCCATGCAGAAGAGCGTCTCTGAATGCACAACACATCAGAAGACCACACTGGGTGTTACTCCTGTCAGCTAAGAAAAGGCAACTGAGGCTACAATTTGTACAAGCTTGCCAATATTGGACAATAAAATATTGGAAATGATACCTGGTCTGATGAGTCTGATTAGGGTTAGAATTTGGCATCAACAACATGTAAGCATGGATCCATCCTGCCTTGTATCAACGGTTCAGGCTCGTGGTGGTGGTGTTATGGTGTGGGGGATATTTTCTTGGCACACTTTGGGCCCATTAGTACCACTTGAGCATTGTGTCAACACAAAAGCCAACCTGAGTATTGTTGCTGACCATGTCCATCCCTTTATGACCACAGTGTACCCATCTTCTGATGGCCACTTTCAGCAGGATAACGCACCATGTCGTAAAGCACAAATCATCTCAGACCAGTTTCTTGAACATGACAAGGAGTTCTCTGTACTCAAATGGTCTCCACAGTCACCAGACCTCAATCAATGCATAAGGTGCACCCTTGGGATGTAGTGGAACAGGAGATTTGCATCATAGATGTGCAGTTGTCAAATCTGCAACAACTGCGTGATGCTATCAAGTCAGTGTGGACCAAAGTCACTGAGGAATATTTCCACTATCTTGTTGAATCTATGCCATAAAGGATTATAGCAGTTCTGAAGGAAAAACGGGTTCCAACCAGTACTAGTAAAGTGTACCTAATTAAGTGGCCAATAAATGTCTTTTACTCTGCGTCGCTGAATTGATTTATACAGAACTGTTAATACTATGCTATATTTAAGGAAAGTAACTGTGATTAAATTATCTAAAGATGAAAAGTAATGCCTTGACTTTTGAAAAGTAATTTATAACAGTAGTTACTTTGTAAATAATTACACCAATCAACGGAGGTGAATAGAGTTCATGTAAAGCAGAAACACAGCAGAAAGCCTTGTGTAAATGTTAACTTTACCTTCACTTCAGGTCGAGATGGGTAATGAAAAGTTATATTATGAAACTCCAGATCTCCTTTCACTTTGTCTAACTTATATCCAGCCTCAGAGAGACAATCAATCTCTGGTTCCTGAAAATAAGACAACATTCCTGTCAATACATCACTTGCGAAGGTGTCTGACAGGCTTTAGTGTCAGATAGATGTCAGACATGCAGTAATACAGACGTTTTTATCTGATTTGCTCTTGCATTGAGCACCCAAGGCATTGCCATTTTTTCACACTTACTAAATCCATAAAAGAGAACGTAACTTTCATTTGCTGTCTATGTAGCATCATCTTTTTGGTTATCAGAGGAGTGATATTTGTCTGACACATGTCTTTGCTTTTATAGTTCAGTTAAAAAGTATGTTACTGCTAAATGTTCAAAATTCTTCTAGTGAAATTAAAGTTTGAAATAAATGTACATGATGTAGTTAATAATAATAATTGGGGCTTTACATTAACACCCGCCAAATGTGGGTTAGCTGTGGCGGGTTAGACTGACACCTCCACTTTGGCTGGTTGAAAGTCATTTTTAAATTGTTATTTTCTTAAAAACAGGGTTTGACAATAAGGATGGCCCAATATGGGCACAAATGCGATCTTAGAATTGAGAAGCAGCACGACTGACAAAATTAACGCGCAAGCAAAAGAAAAGTGAACACCGGATGAGAGGATAATCATTTGCGCCAAAAGCTGATGTGATGCACGCGCTCCCGTTTCCTTGCTTGAAGCAACCGTGCCTAGAAACGCAACTGTGTGATCAGTTCTCTTTCAAATAGACTACACAAAAAAAGTTAGGCTCATCCACCCACAGTCTGGCTGCTTTGAAGAGCTCCAGATGTCTTTTTGGAAGCAGCACCAGGTGCTTTCGCTTTAACCATTATTTGAACAGATTATCAATAGGCCGGTAATCGCGTGCATGTAATCATCCTTTTATTATCACTCACAGTATGTTTGTCACCTGCTTTCTTTTGCTTACAGTTATTTTTTGTAAATATGGTTTGATTTTTTTACAATAACATTGCTTTAATAGGATATTAACCTCTTGTTTATGTGTAGTTACCGGGTGATCTGAAACCTTTAGCCAGGGCAGAATACTGTGCATATTTTAGATACATCACAATAATTATATTTTAAATGCTTTTTTTATGTCTTGTTAAACAAAAAGTAAAGTATACAGCTATATTTTGCTTGTTTTGACACATTTAAAAATAGTAGCTAAGAAATTTTGAGCTTTGAAAAGTCCTGTGAAAAAAAAACTAATTGTAATACGACACTATGAAACTATGACCCTTTTGCTTAAGCTCATTGAGCAAGTTTACACAAAAAGTAAAATAAATGAGGAGGCATGTGGACATAACACAAAATCTATATCAAGTAGTTGTAGCATGTCAAAGTCATATTTATACATGTAAAATATATTTTCCCAACATCAAAAATGTTGCTAGTGAAAATGGCAAGTGGCTAGTAATGTTGGAAAACTACTAGCCACAGTGGCTGGTGATCAAAAAAGTAAATGTCAAGCCCGATAATAATATAATTATAATAATAATAATAATAATAATAATAATAATAATAATAATAATAATAATAATAATAAAATATAAAATATTAAAATATCTAGCAGTGTAAATTATTGTATGTTTCTTTAAAATTATAACATCTATTTTTAATGGGCTTTTATTAAAAAAAATTGTCTAGCTTAGTGTTCTGTCATTTTTATATAATTTTCAATTGAACTTTTAAATATTGGTTTTAGCAATGTTAGTTCTACAACATATTGTATTTCAGTTTAATATCATTTTAAAAGCTCAGATTTTTATTTAATAATTATATTTTACCTTCTCTTTTTATTAAAACGAAAATAATATAAATCATATATGATTAAATAAAAAATAATAAAGTCAATAATAATGACTCTGTTTTAGATACACATTAGTTTGGTTTAGTGACAGTCAGTCAGTGGTGTAAAGTAACCAATTACAAATACTCAAATTACTGTAATTGATTTTTTTTTCTCAGGAATTGTACTTTACTAAGTCATTTTAAAAACATGTACTTTTACTTTCCCTTGAGTACATTTTTAGTGCTGCATCGGCACTTTTACTCCACTACTTTCCTTCAACCTGCCACTACTTTATTTTGTCTATAGGGATTAGAAAAATCAGTCCTGTCTAATCGAATTGTACATAGGAGGTAAATCACCACATAACGAATTACCTCAAGACATGTGTGTTTTATAATTGCAGCAAACTGTTTGGAAGCATTAAATGTGTCCAAGAAGATGTCCAAAATCTTTACACACATTGACCCAGAGACTGTTTAGATGCATGTCACTGATGAAAAGATGACAAATGCTTACTGTATGATAACTAAAACAGCCTTAAACACCCAGCAGGCAAAGGATGTCAGCATTATGTCAGATTGACGTTGTACCCCAAAAGACGTTGCAGTTTCTTTGGAAATGAAAATTGGGTTGAGAACGTTTGAGGTTACAGAAGTAACCCTTCGTTCCCCGAGGAACCGAATCCTCCCATACATGGATTTTCTAGATCAAATCCACCTATAGCACTGGAGTTCCCCAACCGAAGGGGAACTCAACGATACTCAAAGTATCTAACATCCAACCTAAAACCAACCAGATATCAAATTCTAATGATTTTAGAGCTTGACGTTGTGTTGATGTTACCACTATGATGTGGATTTTGGTTGGATTGGATTTTGGTTACCATATACCTGACGAATAATTGTCAGTATTTGACGTCAATATGACGTTGGTTTAAAATGTTGGCTCGACATTGGATTTTGGTCACTTCATAACAACCTAAAATCAAGTAAATATCAACGTCACTTGACGTCATTATTGGACATCAAAATAACGTTGTCCTTAGACGCTGACTAAACGTTGAATTTTGGTCACCTGACGTCACAACCTAAATCTAACCGAATATTACTGTCTTATGACATTGTGTGCCTGTTGGGCAATAACTAAATGCACTACAGAATGTTACGTTTACACACAAATCCACAAATTAGATGTAAACACATCAGCTTTTCACAGCGTAAAACTCACAACTCACTACTCTTAAGTGCATTTAAAAGGGCTACTTTTTACTCATACTTTGAGTAATATTTACATCCGATACTTTTACTCAACTTACACTACATTTTTAGGCAAGTAATGGTACTTTTACTTGAGATTATGATTTTTCAGTACCCTTTCCATCACTGCAGTCAGTACTAAATATTAATGTTTTCCATCATGTATCAGTGGCCCACGTGAATGTTCTTACGCGGTCTATTGTCTCAAAGATAATGGTGGCAGCTCCTCTTCCTGCAGCAAAGGCCTCCAGGCAAGGAGACGCCTGACCCAGATTTAGGGCAGCAATGAGCACTCCGAAAAAAACCTGAAAACAAAACCATATTTGTCTTTTAAAAGGGACCTATTATGCAAAAATCACTTGTATTAGGGGTTTAAACACAATAGCATGGCATCAATGTGTAAATATAGCCAGCCTCTTATGATAAAAAATTATTAATTCTAGTTTTTAATAATCACACTTTATAAAAACAGTCTGCAAAACACTTTGAATTGACATTCTCCCTTTCTACATGTCATCACAGGAGAAAGCCCCGCCCATTAGTGACTGTCTCTCTCTCATAGAGCATAGACAGTCCTGAGTAAGAAGCAGTCATTCGCCAATTGACTTTTAATCTGCTGAAAATAACGTCAGCGACTAAGATGATTGTACATGTGGAGTTTTAGTAAACACAAATGCACACTATAGTCTCCATAGACGACCTTCTTCTGAGACACTTTTATTGATATTTTCAGTTTTTGATAGAGATAACATCAGTCCTGTTTTGAATCGGATGCTGTGCTAATTAGCTCCTCCCTTTGTAATGGGGATTTTTGATGACAGGGGTAGGTAGGATCCAATATGCAGCTTTATTTGAGTAATCAGGCAGTCAAGGTTCAATATCAAAGTAGACAGAAACACGTAGATAATCTTAAGAGTAAACGATGTAACAGGCAAAAGGGGTTGAGACAGGTGTCAAACAATCAATAAACAGTTTAAGCAAACAAAGGGTCAAAATATGGCACTACAGTATGTTTGTGTGTGTGAATGGTGTATATACAGTGCTCAGCATATATAAGTACACCCATCACAAATCTACACCCAATTTTATGTTATCGAAAAATATTAAATACAAATTTTAAAAAGCAAAAAAATCAGGAGAAAAAAAGAAAAAAAAAGTTGTTGAAATATAAGTTGTAGTTTATTTTTGCAATATTTTACTTGAATTTAATTGTATTATCTGTCAACTGCTAAATATGTTTGATGACTAAAATATTATTTTAATTAATATATCTGTTTAATAAATCTGTTTTGTTTTAATGCACCAAAATACATTACCTATATTCACTGAGAAATGGATCAAAATAATCATTTTCAAAATGGGGTGTACTCAATTATGCTCAGCACCGAGTGTGTAATCAGGGTGGACTTAAAACGGGTGTGTGACTGTGGGGCATAATAGGATTTGTAGTTCAGGTAAAAGACAGGGAATGTTCTACAGTGACCTGCGAGGGCTACATCTCAGGTGATTGCAACAACCTTTTTTTGAAAAGAGGAATGGGAGCAAAATCCCAAATAAATTTAAAGCGACAGTGACCAAAACGGCACAATCTGAATCAAAGCCTAAAAGGGGCAGTATCAATGAGTTATAAAACATTATGTGTGGGGTATTTTGAGCTGAAACTTCACATACATACTCTTGGGACATCAAAGGCTTATTTTACAGCTTGTAAAAAGGAACATAATAGGATCGCTTTAAATCTGAATTATTCTGAATGACTAAAATGAACCATAACATGCAGATTTTTTGCATGTTCTTGCATGAGAGAGATCATGTGCAAGTACCTGCAGTAATGTCCCTGGACTGTACTCTTGTGTGTCCACTACTAAACTGGATCCATACCAGAAAGCCAGTGCGTAACAAAGAAAGATGATGAACCACATGTATCCTGTGAAAAAGCCCATGATCAGACCTTTCCGGATGCCCCATTGTTGGGCAGAGATCAGATTACGATCATACCTGCAGAAAATATACATTTAAAGAGTTCAAGAAGGTTAAATAATGGCATTTCAAAGGAACTGGCAAACGTTTTTGATGACAATCAGTCATCTTTTTTAAATGTCCTGTAAGTTACCTATCCACTTCTTTTTTCTCTCCACCAAAGGCTGCCACAGTGCGCACACTGGACAAAACCTCATCTGCCACTGCACCCGCTTTAGCGTACGCCTGCAGCTCCATTCCTGTCAGTTTTGCCACAAACTAGACAAACAAGTGCAATCAAAACAAAAGTATTTCACTTTGATTAATTTTATACAACAGGTCATTCCAGTCCTCTGATGTTATTGACTATTTATTGTTTGTTATTGTTTGTTTCCGAGATAATTATGAGAGCCTGTTTTCACCAAAAATTTAAAAGGTTGGGGATTTTTGTTAGCAAGAAGGTCACTGGTTCGAGCCTGGGCTGGGTCAGTTGGCATTTCTGTTTACATGTTCTCCTCGTGTTTGTGTGGGCTTCCTCCGGGTGCTCCGATTTCCCCCATAAATCCAAAGACTTGCTATAGGTGAATTGAATAAGCTAAATTGGCCATAGTGTGAATGTAAGAGTGCATGGGTGTTTCCTGGTGTTGGGTTGCAGCTGGAAGGGCATCTGCAAACATATGCTAGATAAGGTGGTGGTTCATTCCGCTGTTGTGATCCCTGATTAATAAAGGGACTCAGCCAAAAAAAAGTGAATATATGTTTATATATATATATACATACACACACTATATATATCACAATTCAGATTTTGCGGCTGGAAGGACAGCCTCCACATAAAACATATGCCAGAGGCAATTCATTCCTCTGGGGTGACACAATATAGACGTAAGATGCTGAATTCAGATTTTATAATCTCACAATTTTAATTTTTTTTCTGAAATCAACCAATAAACTCACAAAAAAATGTGAATTTTAAGAATTTCTTAATCAAAGGTCTCCATATTGACTAAAATAAATAAATAAAACAGCTTATTTATGACTTGCAGAGATTCATTCAGTTTAGATTTGATTGATTTGTTCATTCATCCATTCATTTTTCTTTGGCTTAGTCTCTATTTCAGAGTTCACCACAGCGGAATGAACTGCCACCTATTCCAGGAAATGTTTCACGGATGCCCTTTCAGTCACAACCCTGTACTGGGAAACATCCACACACATTCTCACACATACACTATGGTCAGTTTAGTTCATTCAATTCACCTATACGCATGTCTTTAGATTGGGGCAACCAGAGCACCTGGAGGAAACCCACGCGAACACGGGGAGAACAAGCAAACTCCACACAGAAATGCCAACTGGCCCAGCCGGGACTCAAGCCAGCAACCTTCTTGCTGTGAGGCGACAGTGCTAACCACTGAACCACCGTGCCGCCATTGGTTGAAATTTTTACAAGGTGAAGGCCTGTTCACTTACCAAGAGTGGTAATGATTGATTATTGAATTGATAATGGTGACTATAAAGTTTTTACAATCATTCTAAATCTGTGGCAATAGGAACAAAATCACTGGAATCAGTTTCAGAATGATCTATTCTAACAGCTGAAAAATTGTTGAAATATTTATTCATTAATTTTATTTTTGGCTTAGTCTCTTTATTATTCCAGGGTCGCCGGAATGAACCGGCAACTTATCCAACACGTTTTTACGCAGCGGATGGCCTTCTAGCCGCAACCCATCTTTGGGAAATCGGAGCACCCGGAGGAAACCCACTCGAACGCAGGGAAAACATTCAAATTCCACACAGAAATGCCAACAGACCCAGCCGAGGCTTGAACCAAGCGACCTTCTTGCTGTGAAGTGACAGCACTACCTAGTGCGCCACTGCATTGCCATGATTAAATATTTAGGTACATTTTTAAGTGTCTCTACTTTATCTGAGTATTTTCCCTATCCTCATCATTTAAAAAAAAAAAAACACTGTACTTTTTACTCAGATGTACTATAAATGAGGAACTGTTTAAGCCCAATGTACGAAAAACTTAAATCTGTTTTATTTAAAACCAAAAATTATTTTATTTAAAGGTTATTTACACTCCTGGGGCTGTATTTTAACGGTCTAGGCACAAAGTCTAAAGTGCATGGGGCAAAAGCATTAAGGGCATGTCCAAATCCACCTTTGCTATTTTAAGCATGGAAAAATACACTCTGCACCGCAGCCCATGGTCTAAGAGTGTTGTGCTTATTCTCTTAATAAATTATGAGTTTGTTTTGAACATAATGTGCATTAAACCAATCAGAGTCTCATCTCACATTCTCTTTCCTACGCTTCACTAGCAAGAAAAAAGTTAAACAGATAATCTTCAGCAAGAATAAAGAATGAGCCTCCTCTATTCAGCCTCTTCACTTCACTTTTACTCTTTTCTTTACTCCTTTACTTTCGTGGACTAAGAAACCAGTGTTAAACGCACTACACTGAAGACATCCATTATCCGCATATTTAATTTAATTTAAGCGCAAACATTTGTTTCAAAACTGTTTCTAAATTCAGTTCTAATTTCCAGCAAATTAATAAATGAACAATAATAATGAAGTGTGGTCAAAAAACTGAGCTATATCCAAACACACATCCTATTCTTATGCCCCATATGGTGATGCATATGCCTCCAAAACCCATCAGGGGTCCGTTCTTCGTACGTGGATTACTCAGTTAGCTGGATTTGGTTATTTGTGATTTGATACGATCCAGGATCGTTTTGTTCTTCAAAACTGATCCGAGAGTTGTTGTCATAGCAATAGTTCTGCTAGCTCAAACCTGGTCGGGAGCAGGTTCAATTCATATAAACAGGATTAGATCGGGTAGATACAGAAAGTATGTACCGAATTCTGATATTTTCTTACAGTAGTAGGTATATACACTTGGGAAAATAGTAAATATTTTTTTAACTATATATATATATATATATATATATATACTTATGCAATCCGCACCCTCGAAATAAAAGTACAAAGACTGCCACCTGGTGGTGCAAAGAGAAAACTTGTGATATAACTTTTTAAATGGCTTTAGTACAAATAATAGAAATAATAGAAATAGAAATGCACAATATGTGACTTTTTTTAAAAGCAATAATACATTTATGCAATCATAAACATGCTTTGACAGTTAATATGACAGTGAAGTGATGCTTCATAAGTTGCAGACGCCATTACCAATATCAAAATGCTTTTGTAAGCATCCAGTTATTCTTTACACCAAATAAAAAACTGGCTACAATAATACTACTATAAAAAGGAAAATCCGCTCTAACTGTAAAACTAAACAAATTGCTTTTGACACATTAAAGGGCCAAGCATGCAGACCACAACAAGGTGTAAAGTTATTGCGTGTCATATTTAACAAACCGTTTACTACTAATTTTATGTAATTTTGCTCACATGGATAATTGAATATTGTCCAGATGATATCATTACGCTGCTGTGCTATCAGCCAATCGTTGCATTGCTGATCTTGATTTCGAGGATCGATAGATCTGTTCTTCACAACACACACAGAGATCTCAGATCAATTCATCCAGACATTTTAATCTGATTTACGAACTTGTTTGAAGAACCAAATTAGCCTGAGATCAGTTATCAAGATTAAAAGATCCAGGATCTGCCAAATCATTTAAACAAGCTACGAAGAACAGACCCCAGGGGATGATCTAAAAAGATTTGGCAGATCCTGGATCTGTTCATCTTAATAACTGATTTGGGAACAAGACAGACTATTTATTTGGCAAAAATCTTAGGGTAACTGAGATCGACTTTTTTCCCCAATTCCAGCTCTATCTAACTTAACTATGAGGCGAAATCCTTAAAGGGGCACTTCATCTAAACAAGCGAATGTGATTTGAACTTAACTTAATTCCATATTGAAGGCTGCGGTATATCTAGCAATTTTTGCTTTTTTGCACACTTGAATTATGTAACTTAATTTAAACATACTCTTGAAAAATTTATGACAATTCAGCAATAAGAACTTTTAACTTTAAATTAAATAGGAAATAAACAAAGTAAAACTAAAAAGGAGGACTTTATACCTTCAAATGATATACCTAAAACTAAAAATTATATCTTAATTTCTCATCCTCCACTTGTAAACAAAAGCCACTGACTTCCATACAATTTTTTGTTTATACTATGAATGCTGTCGCTGTTTTGTTCACCAACATTCTTCAGCGTATCTTGTATTGTGCTCAACAGAAGACATTCATAAAAGTTTAGAGTGCCAGTAAATGGTGAAAAATGTTTCAAATTTTCGAGAGAACAACCCTTTAATAGAGTAAAATCATAATATATGATCTATATAGCTAATGTTTGAATTCTGACACGTTTCCTTTCTCACCAGAGCCATGAGTCCTGCTCCAATCCCGATCAGAGGAGACACGGAGATGATAACCAGAGTCAGTTTCCAACCTCTCGCGAATCCCATGAGGAAACCACACACAAAAGTGGTGAAGCGCTGGATGAAGATTCCCACCTGATCAGCAATGGCATCGTTTATCTTGTTGATGTCACTAAGATCAAATGGAAGCACCCACATTAATAGGTCATTCATTTATTTCCAACGTCTCTGCTCTGGCAAGTACGAACATCTTACTCAGACATTCGAGTGTTGAGTTCTCCTACTGAAGTGCAGTCAAACCAACCAATCTCCATCCTCATGACCTTCCTAAAGTACATCTTCCTGATAATCTGAATCTGTCTTGCTGCTGCAGTGATCCACAGAGAGATCTGATAGAAACAACAAACATATTTTTGTACATTTGGTACATTTCATTGACAAAAAAACAATAACTTGATTAGTTTAAAAAGCTCACTTGGAGGTATCCAAGAATGAAGACCCCTGCTCCGATGCCAACATAATAGTAGGCAAAATTGGTCATTTCATATTCGATATCCAAAAGCCTGAAGCAGAAGACCACACTGTCATTTAAACTGCATTTATATTATATTACATCTTATTCTTTAGTAGACGCTTTAACAAATAATTTCAGCCACATAAAAACAGCGGTAACACTTTACAATAAGGTTAATGCATTTACTAACTTGAACAAACAATAAACAATAAAATTATACAGTATATGTTCATGACTGTTAAGATTAGTTATTGAAAATATTTTTGTTTATTGTTAGTTTGTGTTAACTCACATTATCTAATGTTGTCAAGCATGAATTTGGATTTTAATAATGCATTATTGAATGTTGAACTAAAATTAATAAATGCTGTATAAGTATTGTTCTTAGTTTATGTTAGTAGATACATTAACCAATATTAAATAATGAAACCTTTTTGTGTGACTAGAATAACAGTATGTTAATAATAATAATAATAATAATAATAATAATAATAATATGACCATTTCTGTTAGGCTAATTTAATTTACATCATTGTTCAGATAAATACAAGCAAAGAATATAAGTAACTAAATGATTAAATAAAGATAGCAAAGAGATTGTCAGTGTTAGAAGATAAAAGATTAAAGTAAATTGTTAAATATATAGAAAGTAGGCTGAATAGTAGATACACTACCTGACCAAAGTCTTGCCGCCTATACAAGTTTTATAAAAAACAAATAATAACTTGACTTCTTTTTGATTATTTGGCATCAGAAGTGGTAATATGAAAGGCAAAGGCCTCTAGATTACTCTTATTTTACCAGAATAAAATATGATCATGCCTTATTTTTTGATTATTTAATTAGGACAGTAATGCCTGACCTTGCTTAGACAAAAGTCTTGAAATTATGTACAGTATAGAATATCAAGTCATGATGGATTGGGAAAAAATGAATATTGTGTCTGACTCCCATGAGTTTAGAGGACTGCAACCATATATCTCTGCAATAAATAATTTCACTTAATAAAGTCATCTGGAATGGCAAAGAAAATGTTCTTGCAGGACTCCGAGAGTTCATCAAGATTCTTTGGATTCATCTTCAATGTTCCTTTTTCATCTTACCCCAGGCATGCTCAATAACGTTCATTTCTGGTGACTAGGCTGGCCAATCCAGGAGCACCTTGCTTTCAGGAACTTTTTGGAGGCTGAAGTATGAGAAGGAGTGCTATATCCTGCTGAAGAATTTGCCCACTCCTATGGTTTGTAATGTAATAGGCAGCACAAATGTAGATCTCTCTACACTGCGGATCTTTCACATTGCCCCATACTGACTGTAGCCCCAAACCATGATTTTCCTTCACCAAACTTGACTGATTTTTATGAGAATCATGTGGGTTCCTATATTGTAGGTCTTCTGCAGTATTTGTGATGATTGGGATACTGTTCAATAGATGATTTTTCTGAAAAATCTTCCTTTGCCACTTTTCCAAATAATCAACTACAGTAGAAGTCAAGACAAGTTATTATTATTATTTTGCTCTTACAACTGGGATCGATGACAAGACTTTTGTCAAGTAATGTAGATAAAAGTTTGTAAGTTTTTAAAATACAAATGTAATAAACATATACTTTATTAATATTACCGATTTACAAGAGAATTAAATTTTTGAATATAAGAATTCTAAGTTTAATAGAAAAAAACTCTCATTTCTAACATTATTTTTAAACAATAAAATGGGCTATATATACCTTTTTGAAAATGAACATAAATCATATTAAACTTTTGAAATTTTGGAAACTATGTTTTACATTTTTTATGGAATCAAATCTGTATTCAAACAAAAAAGTCTTTAAATACTGTAAACACTTGTACACGGTATGTTTTGCAGACATTGTTTTAAATTTTCTAGTTTACGGTAAAATTTGCAATGTAATGTAGTGTAAATTAATGTGTATTTATATAGCTCATTTATTGTGTATTCACCTGGTATGACGGCAAAAGACAACGGCGCCAGTGCGCTTACCACACACCAGCTATTGGTGGAGTGGAGAGATAGTGATAGAGCCAATTCAGTGGATAGGGATCATTTAGCTCATTGGCCCTCAACTAAGCTGAAATTTAAATAAACCAGTATAACTGTTGTTTCAACTAAAAAAGCATATGTTGAAATAATAAAAGTTAATTTAACAATAACATCATGTACAACTCATTTGCCATTTTTTGGAAGTCTTTTCATTTCTGAAAGCAACTTTCACAAAGAGACTTTACTTAAATGTCTTGATTTTTAACGACAGGAGCCTTGCTTTAATCAAAATATTGTGTAAGTCTTGCTATTGTCTGTTATTAGTAGATTATATTTAGTTTTGTTTTACTTAAAAATTAAAGACTAAGATTAAAGATTAAACTGCCGGTCCAGTACAAAAGAAGAGCCCTTTTGGGTTTCGTAAATAACTTTTTTCAAGCAAAACAGCTCTTATTTTCTTAAAGTAACAAACAATCATTTATTCATTTATTTTCCTTCAACTTAGGCCGTACTCACACTAGGTACAGTTGCCTTGAACCGGGCCAAAGCATGCTTGTCCCCCCTCCCGTCTCCCCCGACGGCCCGCGCTCACACCACAAACGGGCCACGGCACGCTTACGTCATCGCTGCTGCGCTGTTCAGTGAGAAGCACTCTCTCACTCAGCAGCACAGTGGAGATTTCTCCAGTTATATCGTTTCAGTCGTTTGTTATGCAGTGACATACAGTCAAATATTTCGCCAAACAGTCCTTAGGGATGCAGTGACACGCAGTCAGATATTTCGCCGTACAGATCCGCCACTTTTGGCGCTCAAAAACAATCATTAAGCCCTCACGCTGCAGGAATGAGGAGGTCTGCTGAAGCTGCACAGCTGTCGTGCTGTGAGGAGTTCTCGTCTTTAATAAACTATGGCAGTTTGCGTTCACTGAACAGTAAAAATGATAAATAAATCCATACGAAACAGCCCCGTAAAAGTCACCTCTCACTTTCAGTTTCGGGCTTCGGCGCGTTTGGCACTCACACACAAGCGTACCGTAACAAAGCCCAAGTGAACCGCGCTCAGGCACATCTTTTCCAACCGGGCCAGGGCCGGCCAAGTGAACTGCTTGAGCCTGATTCAGCGCACTTACACTTCTCAAACAATCCGGGAAACGGGCCTGGGCACGGTACGGATGGCATAGTGTGAGTAGTCCCTAAGTCCAATCACAGGGGTTGCCACAACGGAATGAACTGCGAACAGTACAGTCAATTTTGTTTACCCAATTCACCTATAGCGCATGGGGAGAATATGCAAACTTCACACAGAAAGACCAACTGGCCCAGTCGGGACTTAAACCAGCGACCTTCTTGTTATGAGTTCACCACTGAACCTTTTTCCATGATAAAAAACATTTTGTGAAATAGAAATGCTTCTGTGGATGTTTAAGATTCTACATTACACCACTGATATCCAATAAAAAAGCTCTTATTTTAAAGCAGGATCATATTTGTTGGTCATTCTTTTTAAAGTTTTGTAAGAAAGACAGGACAGTTCTTGCTTTCTTCTTACCCGCATGATCTGGTCATGTTCAGTGCCAGGTTTTCTTCCTGAGTCAGGTTTCTCCACTGTATGGTATTATTCACACAGGCTTTCTGTGGGTCACTAAGCTCATTGAGCTCAATGTCGTAGTCTATGAAGGTGTCTGTCAGCATGCCAAACACCAGCAGCATCAGTGGCTGTGCTGAGCCATGAGCAATCGCACACAAACTCCCAAAAACCATCATCCAGATCTCCCGGCAGCTGGCGAAGCGAAACTGAAGTCAACAAACAAACATATCCAGCATAGTGTAAAACATTCAGCTTTGAGTCTACAGAAATGAGTCTGCAGCAATACTATGAACAAAACAATTATGCACGGATGAACTTCTCAAAATCACTAAATCTTTCTTTTTAGAGGTTAAATCATCTAATACAGGGGTGTCAAACTCAATTCCTGGAGGGCCGAAGGCCTGCACAGTTTAGTTCCAACCCTGCTCCAACACACTTACCTGTAGGTTTCAAACAAGCCTGAAGGACTCAATTAGTTTGATCAGGTGTGTTTAATTAGGGTTGGAACTAAACAGTGCAGAGCTGCGGACCTTTTGGAACTGAGTTTGACACCTGTGATCTACTATGTCACTTACAGTCATTTACAGATGGGTCTAAAAATGATTCATTCAAGAGTTCACACTTAGCTGATGATTGATTATAAAGCTTGTTTGGCATGCTGTCCCAAGAGAGAATTTGAATTCATAAAATCCTCGAGTTCGGGACTCCCTCCCGTTTCCAAGGTAAGAGGGGAGTTTGAGCTTAGGTAGATCTCAAGAACTTCCCTGCTGTATTTTCTACTTGACAGATAGTGATTGCTCTTTAGAGATAACTTACTAGGAGCATGTCTATGGTGCTGATTTGGATTAATCAATTAACTTAAGTTGCATGTTTTTGGACGGAGGGAGGAAACTGGGGAACTCAGGGGAAACCTTTGCGAGCACAGGGAGAACGTGTAAACTTCGCACAGAAATGTTGGCTGGCTTGGTAAGGACTAGAACCAGTGATGTTCTTGCTGTGAGGCAACAGTGCTAACTATTGAGCCACCATACCACCCATCTAGGAAAGGAGGAGGAGTGGGGAAGGGGGGGGGGTTCTTCAAAACGAAGATGGCTGTCATAGGGAACTTAAGGTATTTATAGTGGCTTAGGAATCGTCTGATTGGTGAATCATAAATTGAATAATGCAGGCCCGGCTGCAAGCAATCATGAGCACATGATCCTTTTAAAATTAGTTTATAAATAAACTTCACTTATTGGAACTGATTGTCCCATGAAAAATCTTTTACATCCATTAAATGGGTTAGTTCGCCCAACATTAAAAATGTGCTCACAATTTACTCGCTCTCACATTTTCCAAACTTTTTGAGTTTCTTTATTCTATTAAACAAAAAGATATTTTTTAAATGTTGGAATCCAGTATCCGTTGACATCCATTGCAGAAAAAACAATACGATAGAAGTCAATGGTTATCGTTTTCCAACATCTTTAAATATGTTGTTTTGTGTGTGTGTGTGTGTTTGACAGAATTAAGAAACTCATAATGGTTTGGAACCACTTGTAAATGGTGAGTACACTTACATTTTTGGGTGAGGTATTCTGGTGGATGTTAAAGATTTCAAACTGGATTAGAATTAGTAAATGGTGACAGAACTGTCCCTATAACAAGATAGTTCATGCCAAAATAAAATGTAATTAAACTTTTATAAGTTCCTTTCTTCTGAGAATTACAATTTTGGGTGAACTATTCCTTTAAAACTTTATATTCTGCAAAATGTTCCTTAGATTGTTAAAATAGTATTTATGCTAAGTGGCTAACTGGCACAGTTGAACTTTAGGGCATAGGTTATCATAAAAAATGAAAAGGAACACAATTTTACCAAAAGCATTCGTCAAAAAATAATGTCCGTTAATTAAAGAACTGTTTACTAAAACGTTTCCTGAGGAACCAAAAATAGTTGTTATATGGCCCATTTTAAGAGTTGTTTGTTTGAAGAGATAGCTCACCCAAAAATCTAAATTCACTTATTATTTACTCAACCTCAGGTGGTTCCAAACCTTTTGCATTGTAGCAAAAACTATAGCTATTTTTTAAAATTGGATTTTTAGAAAGGGAAAAGCCATTTCAAAATAATTTACTCCGTCTTCACTTGTTCAAAATTGGTTTAAGTTTTTTTATTCTGTTGAACACAAGAAAAGATATTTTGAAGAAAGCCAGAAGCGAGAAACCATTGACATACATACAACCCAGGCTCATTCTGAAAATGTACCCCTAAATACATTTCTATAGAAAGAGCCTAGTACATCCCAGGAGGTAAATTTTTTACATTTTTTTCATGAGTCCATCAGAGGCCGCTGTGTATGCTTTTTAAGATCTCAAATTTGTCTCTCAAGTGCCATTTGCACCTGTTCTTCTTGCATATATCCACCAGAGGCTCCTGTCGACTGACTGACTGACCAACTAGGCAATTATCCCACCAGCCCCCTTCCCTATCCCAACCGATAGTGTTTTCAAAGGCACTGATTGACCCGATCACCCACTTCCCTAGCTAAACCCAACCGACAGTGTCTTCAAAAATAATCTATAATAGAAAATCCCCCTGATTTTTACTATGTTTTTAGATTTTACCACATTCCCAGCCTGTTATTTACTTGTTTATTTATTTATTTATTTTTTGTTTGTTTTACCTGCCTTCTGGAACCATTTTTTGATGGACTCAAACCCTTCATTGCTATCAACTCCTCTCTGCATCTCAGTCTGCAGACGTACATGGCGAGCTAACTGGACAAACTGGTAACAACGGGAAAGCTGTCCATATGGAGGTAAACGATCAGCTGGTAAGCGTGAAAAGAAATTGATACATACCGCCCTTCAGCATTCGTTTTGAAGACAAAACGAAGCCATATGTAGCTCTGGCTGCATAATTTGCGATCTCCCGAAATGTATAGAGGTATAGAATGAGATATGTTACAACCATGCATAGCAGAAAAACAAATATGGAAGTCAATGGTTACTAGTTTCCAACATTTTGCAAAATATCTTCTTTTGTATTTAACAAAAGAAAGAGAGAGTTAAGTAAATGACAGAACTGACTTTTTTGGACAAGTTATAGGGATGAATGCACAATGTGCTTCAATACAATTATTCAGGGGCAGGTTTTGCAGAGAACGTGGCATGGGTAAATGAAAATTAATTATTTACCAAATAAATTAATACAACAATTTTTAAGCGCAAAATAATAATAAAGAAATTATGATAATCCTTAAAAACAAAGTATTTACAATTTAGGATGAACTATCCCTTTAAGAGTATGACTACAGTTTATGCATCGAGCCAGCCAGTAAATTCATATTACAAGTTTCTGACAGAACAAAACGCCACTACTTAACAATAGTATATTTCTCATTGTTACAGTACAAAACAGATTTTTTTACCAGCTGAAAGAAGCCGACGCGGATGGCCGACTCTTCTTTCTTGCTTTTTTTGGACCTGCAAATAAAATATTTTGTAAAAATGCTGGAAAATGAGCTTCCATTTTCAAGAAAAGGGAGACAATTTAACTCACTTATTATCCTTTCCTGAAGCCATTGTCCTGTATTAAGACAAAGTCGTTTAAAGAACTATTTCTAATCAAAAAATGTTTTAATAACTAATTAAATGTATCAAAAAGAAGGACTTACATGTAATCACCACTTGTCTCTGCAAATATTTAATATATTAATGAATGAATTGTGCAATTAATTTCAGAATACTTTGAGGAAACATTAACTAAACATTTTACCTTCGTCTGAAAATTCAAATCCATCATTTTCCTGTCCAAACCTCTTGACACTGCGCAGCTTTACAGTTCCCGGCATCGTTCTGCCTGTTCTTTTCTTAATGACATTAAGAAAACAGATGCTTCAAGATAATTGAATTTCACCAAAACAAAACATATAATTTTTTCAATCCAGCACTGAAAACCTACCTAACTGATCCTCCTCTTTGCTGATATTTGTTGTTTTGCAATAAAAAAAAAATTCCAGGAGATACTCCTATAACGCAGTCATGTTGGTCTAGCAAAACTCCAGGTAGATTCCTTGTTAGCTCCAGGATTGTTTTGGAGTGAATCTCTGTATTGTAATCGTCAGTATTTGTATTTAGCTAAATGTGTTGGTCGGTTTTGGCTCAGGTAAGGTAACTGTCCTGCAGGTTTGTTCATTCAGGGAGGGTGAATGACCTCCATGTACAAACACTGACAAAACAAAATCAATATGACAATTCAAGCGCATGTGCTCACAAGATTTGAGGAGTAATATGGTCGACATTAGTGCTGGAAATTTCATTAATAGTAGGAAGCAATTCAGATGCGACTTTTCTGAAGCATTCAATAGGATGGCCATTTGTCATGCAGGTTTTTTTTTTTTTTTTATTGCAGAAAGAGTTAATGCTGGTGCTCTGCATTTTTACTGTCCTGATATTTGGGAGATAACTAAAGATCAATTCGGAGAACTGTTTCTCAGGTGAACTAAAATCAAGGTTAAAGCTTGTGTGGTCAATCACCTCAGCGTGTTTCCGTCCTGCAGCCATGGATGAACCATCATGCACTGCAAAATCAATAAATTTGGAAGAAACGTGCTGCTTTTAAGCACTGAAACAATCCCATTTAGATTTATAAAGCATTCTGATGTACATACTGACATTCGGCACGCCTTACTGTTTTCATAATTTGAGCATGCTTGTCAGACTTTAATGTTTTAGATTATTCATTTTCCTTCAGCTTAGTCCCTTATTTATCAGTGACTGCCACAGTGGAATGAGCTACCAACTATTTCGACGTATGTTTTATGCAGTGGATACCTTTCTTCCAGTGGCAACCCAGCACTGGGAAACTCTCTCCCATTCACATATGCACTCACTATGGGTAATTAAGTTTATCCAATTTACCTACTATGCATGTCTTAGGACTGTGGGGAAAAACAGAGCACCTGGAGGAAACCCACATAATCCAAATCCACATAAATTCCACAGAAATGCCAACTGGCCCAGCCAGAACTTGAACCAGCGACCTTTTTGCTGTGAGGCAACAGGACTAACTACTGAGCCACTGTGTCGCTGTTTCAGATCATCAAAATAATTTAAACAATATTAATTTGCAATGCTTGTGTATGAGTTTTTTAACTTGTAAGGTTTACTTTTGTAAAGCTTGTAGTAGTTATTGATCCATAATTTTCTTTTGTTATCTGGGACTGGGTCATGAGGGAGAACTCCTTACTTAGTTCTTAAGAAAGAACTAACCCTAACCCTTGCCATAATTTAAAGGGCACCTATTTTACCCCTTTTACAAAATGTAAAATAAGACATTGGTGTCTCCAGAATGTGTCTGTAAAGTTTCAGCTCAAAATACCCTCCAGATTATTTATTATATAATGTAGAATCTGCCCACTTTAGTGTCTGGGGACTAAGTAGCTATTTTGTAGCCTGTGGCTTTAAATCCAAGTGAGCTTATTTTCCTCGCCCACCACTCCAACGTGCATGTCTGCCATCAGTGATAGAGACAGACTTGGATGACACTGAAATAAGGTCACTAGTCAAAAACACAGTTAGGGCCTACTCACACTATACTATCCAAACCGTGCCCAGGCCTGTTTCCCGGATTGTTTGAGAAGTGTGAGTGCTCTGAATCGGGCTCAGGCATGGTTCACTTGGCCGGCCCTGGCCCAGTTGGAAGAGGTGTGCATAGGCGCAGTTCACTTGGGCTTAGGGGCGGTACGCTTGTGTGTGAGTGCAAAACAAACACAGCCCAAAACTGAAAGCAAGACGTGACTTTAAAGGGACTGTTTCATATGGATTTATTAATAATTCCTACTGTTCAATAAACGCAAACCTTCATAGTTTATTACACGACAGCTGCACCTTCAGTAAACCTCATAATTCCTGCAGCACGAAGACTTTATTATTATTTATGAGTGGCTGATCTGTTCAGGAAAATATTTGACAGCATGTCACTGCATATCAAACCACTGAAACAATATAACTGAAGAAATCTCCACAGTGCTGAGTGAGAGCGCTTACTGAACAGCGCATCATTGATGATGTAAGCGTGCCCACGCCCGAATGTAATGTGAGTGTGGGCCGTCAGGGGAGACAGGAGGGGGGACAAGCGTGCTTTGGCCCAGTTCAAGACAACTGTACATAGTGTGAGTACGCCTTAATGCCTAGTTCAGACTGCGTGATTTTAGCCCCTATTTTGGTTCGCCGACAGGTTTTGAGAAATTGCCGAAAAATGCCTGAAATCACAGGCAAATCGCTGCTCGTGCACGTGAGTGACAATCACACAATATGAACTATCAAAGATTTGATCTGAGAGAATCGCCGATGAGTCGCCGATGCCTGCGAGATATTTGGCATGCTAAATATCTGGAGCTGTCGGTGATTCAAATCATGTCGTGTGAATTGAGTTTTGACTGAAAATAACATCGACGATCGCCTACAGCCAGTGAGAGAGCAGCTTTCACTTGTGTGTGTGTGTGTGTGTATACCTGCTGCAGGCCAGCGGGAGGCTGGGGGAGAAGTTAAAAGCGCTCATTTTCGGTTTATTTGGACCCACGAAATGGAGGAAAAACTAGTGGAGGTTTGACAGGACTCAGGAGCAACCGTGTCTGTTTGACGTTTCATACAGAAAGAAATTAGTTTATTATCAACGTTGAGGAGAAATGGCTAATTCCCTTTAAACCCAGATGAGCAAATATGCACATTTTCTACACCATTAAAGGCTTCTTTTTCATTATGTAGTTAATAACAAAAGATATACTACGTGTTTTTGGCTGTGAGATGTAGTTTGGACAAACTTGTCGGTGATTCTTCCTATTGTAAAGTCATGCAATGTGAAAGTCCCTGTCGCCGATCCATCTTGCAGTGTAAACAAAGCAGCGACAAAACGCTAGCCCAGATAGTCAAGCAGTGTGAAAACATCTGTGACACGACTACTTTGAAAATCATGCGGTCTGAACTCGGCATAAGTGTCACATCCCCGGCTCGTTCCTGGTTCTCCACCTACCACTCTCTCTCCCCATCACGTTCCCTCACCACCTCTCATCACGCCCAAGCACATTCACCTAAATTCTAATTAGACACACCTGCACCCTTCATCAGCACTCCCCATATAACCCAGCGATTCCAGTCAGTTAGTGGCTGGAATGGATGTCTGACGGTTCACTTTACCTTCTCCCTGACGTGTTTCCCCTCTCCGATGATCATTTAACCTGTGAATGCTTCTCTCAAACCTGTGAATGAACTAAGCAATCATTAAGGGAAGTGACTTTACACTCATGTTTGCTTGAAGCTATCTGTTTACAACTAAAATTACAATTTATCAGCTCTACTGCAAAGACTCTCACTTACCTGCTTCTCCTCTTTATTAACACACTACTAGTTTGAATAAATTGATGAAAAGAGATAACCCTCCTTGTCCTCATTGTGTGACCATGACAGTAAGTTTATTTGATGTATTTGGGGTTGAATTTATTTAAGCCTTTCTGAAAGGATGGGTCACACACACATGCCATTTGCAGTACACGCACGCGCACGGCCGTGGTGTTTTTTAGCTGTTAGAGAACTACATGGCAATTTTACTGTCTTTATTATAAACATGCACAGATTAAAAAAAACATTTGAATTTTAGAAATTGAATTGAGGTACAGCTGATCACAGAGAGTTGTAATCCCAGTGTTTGATGTTTTAATCCTAGTTTCTTTGCAAAAGATGCTCTGTGTACATGTGTAAACAAGTTATTATGGAGACATGGCACTTGTCAATCAGTTTGGTGAGTGGGGTAAACTACACCTTTGTCAGTGTTGGGAGTAACGCGTTACAAAAGTAATGTATTACAGTAATGTATTACTTTTTCCTGTAACGCAGTAGTGTAAGGCATTACTAATACATTTTCAGTAATATTTTACACGGTACGTGTTCAGTAACGCTTGCATTACAGCAAACCTTTTGCCTGCAAGACATTAACAAATAAAAAAAAAAACAAGTTCTATTTCCTGTTTGTGGTTAGTGAATATATGGGTGTGTTGTCAGTCTCCCTCTAGCTATTGGAACTTTATTTTTGAACGCCGAATGATTTTTGCAGTAACGTTAAGCCCTAAAGTGCAGCGCGAAAATCGGCAAATAGATGAAAATGGCAGAAGACGGTACATTTGCACAATGGACATACATGCATATGGTGTTATTTCACTGACAAATGTCAAGTTCATATTACAAGTTGAGAGAGTATTCATGTAATATGAGCGATTTTTATAATCCTTTTGCTCACCCTAGCCTGGATAGGTCACAGTAATTCTGCTACATCATATCGCTTTCTACTTGATATAAAATGCTCTGCAGTACATTTTGGTAGGTTTAGTATGTTAAGTGGTCACACTTTACAATAAGGTTCATTTGTTAATGTTAATTAATGCATTTACTAACATGAACAAACAATGAACAATACATCTACTACTATCTATTTGTTCATGTTAGTTAATGAAAATACAATAGTTCATTGTTAGTTCATGTTAACTCATGGTGCATTAACTTATGTTAACAAGCATGGACTTGGTTGTTAATAATGCATTAGTAAATGTTCAAATATGATTAATAAAGGCTGTACATGTGTTGTTCATGATTAGTTAATGTTAGTAAATGCATTAACTAATAAACCTTATTGTAAAGTGTAACCTGTTAAGTTCTAATTCTGTAGATTTTTTTTTTTTGGTGAAAGTAACTAAAAAGTAATATAAGAGTAAAATTAAAAATTTAAGACCGTGATATTGTAAAGGAAGGAATTACTTTCTAAATAACAGTAACAAGTAATCCGTAATGTATTATATTCATATTATGTGAGTTAACTTATTTCTTTCATGTTGTTCCAACACAAATCAAATTTTTATTATATTTTTTTTTACACTGTAGGCTTTACTCCACCCCTAGCCCTGAAACGTCAAACACCCAAAATTCTGAATGTCAAATAATTTTGAGTTATGTTTAAACATTTTGAATCATGAAAACACAAGCAGCAACACTGTGGCTCAGTAGTTAGCACTAACAGCAAAAAAGGTTGCTGGTTCGAGTCCCAGCTAGTTCTGTGTGGAGTTTGCATGTTCTCCCCATGTTTGTGTGGGTTTCCTCCGGTTGCTCCGGTTTCCCCCACAGGCCAAA